TATAAAAAGTAATATTTCGCAACTTTGACGACGTAGTATGCTTCTTTCGACATTTTGAAGCGATTTTTGTTGAATAAGTTATTCATTTGTTGCCTATTAATCCCAGAAAATCAATTTTTATTTAACCCCTTGACGCGTGTACGGACATATGGTTTTTCAGTTTAGTTCGCAGTTTCGCCGCTAGATGGCGCCACAAATTTTCTCCATAAAATGACATATTTTTCATTTTCTTTATTAAAGCTTTCAGGAAACTTTTATTGCTTTATTTAGGTTCTAATGTGATCACATAACACTTTCTGACCCTCAGAAGTACTCAATGTTCGCTAATTTTCGGGAAAATCGCATTTTTCTATTTTTGTAGTTCCAACTTTCACCGCTAGATGGACGGCAATTTTTTAGTCCATGAAATGGGCTATTTTTCTATTTTCTTTAATAATGGTCCTAGCCGGCTATAATTAGATTCGTTCGATTCCGTAGGCGACAAGGAAGAATTCGTATATCTCAGAATTTCGGAAAAGTTCCTAGTTTTCGAGAAAATCGAAATTTTAGTGTTTCGTAGTTCCGCCGCTCGCCGCTAGATGGTGCCACCTGTACCGTTTTGGACCGAATTCGACAAAAATTGATTTTCTGGCTTTATTACGCATCAAAACGCATCAAACCCTAATAGAAATTTGTTTCTAAATGCCTCAGGAACCATACTACGTCGTCAAAGTGCCGAAATATTCATTTTTTTATTTTCTATATATGTGAAAATGTTTTCGACATTCCTGTATGCAGCGTAATGTATGTTCTTTTATAGGCTATCGCGCGTTGATACACGAAACAAATATCTCGTCTATGGGTAGGAACATATGTTCTCTAGCAAGTGGCGCCACGTAGTCGCGATTATCTTGTTCGAATTTATCGATCGAAGGTACAATTTTTTCACGAGAATTGATATTTTGTTATCTAATTCTGCACGACACTATCGTTGTTGTCACGATTTCGTCTTGTTTTAAGAGACAAAAATTATCGTATCGCTCCAACTGTTAATTTATAAACGATAAAATTGCAAACAACATACGAAAGCAGTCCGTATCGATCTCTCTAAACTCTAAACGAACCATCGTATATGTATGTATATCGTCGTTTCGACTATCGATATTACATTACGATGCACTCTGTGTTTCGCGCGTCGATCAACCTTGCGAAGCGTCATTGAATTTCCATGATTTTCGTAAGAAATTTAAATCGGTACCAAGAATAATCGATATGAAATTTGTTGATCAACGATTCACGCGAGCTGGAAGATGATTCGTTATACGTATAAGAATGTAATGTTTACGACAGGAATGATCGATGGACGAAGAGTACGGACAAGTAGGTATTTTCGAAGTTGTGCAACGGCATATATCGCGTCGGTGGCTGCAGAGAGCAAAACGAAAGCGCGAAAGACGTTACGCGAGAGAGAAATAGACGAGAAGTAAATTACCGGTAAATTAACAGCATCAAGGAGGGTTGGCGATACGACGAAAAAGTGGTTCAAGTGTTTGGTAATTGGGCAGATTGTTTGGTCGGTAGGTAAGAGCGAGAAGGCGTGATGGGATCGCGAGAGACGCGAGCGAGAGAGAGAGCGAGAGGCGGACATATATGGTCGCGGGGTCCGAGAAGCTCTCAGGTTACGCCGACGGCGCTAACCGTTTTCACGATGATGTTCACCCTCCTCGTTCCTTCTTCTACTCCCCCTCTCGTTCTCTCTCTCGCTCTATCTCCGTCTTTCTCTTTCCCTCGCTATCTTCCTTCCTTTCCCGTAGCTCTCGCGTATCTTTGCTTTTTCGACTCTAACTTCTCTCCGGTCTTTCTCTCATCGATTCGTCGAAGCTGTATCTCGCTCGTACGCGCACTCTCGACGATCGCGTTCTCTTCGTCGTGCCACGACCAAAAATACCGGCGGTCGTGTAGCCATGGGTGAGAAGGAGAGAGTACGAGGACGGCGTAGCGCGTTCGAGAAAGACGAGAACGCGAAGCGTGGCGCGTCTTCGCGATACCGCGAGAGAAGGACCGAGGTTCTCGTTATTTCGAGATTATCGGGGATTGCCTGCTTTTTGGATTCGTGCCGATCGTCTCGTCTACTCTCGATATCGAATCAGCTTCCTAACTCTCTCTTTCTCTCTGTCTCTCTTTCCTTGTATTTCGCTCGCGTGCAACAAATTACCCTATTCTACGCGCGCGTATAAACATTGAACCCAACTCATCGATGAAACAGTTCGGAATAACTTCAAACGCTTATCGCCGTCTAATTGATCCTTACTTGTAGAGAAATAATTACATAGATTCTACCTGGAAAAGTTGCGAAACGCGATAATCGACGCGTTAATAGCCTGATCAGTGTCTGCAGATTTATTAACAGGTTCGGAAGAGTAGCATTATTTTTATATTCGCTCCTGTATCGTAAGTCGGTAATCAATTCTGTTTACTAATCTGGCTTCTCGCGATAGGATTGTCTGTCAAGTTGGACATACAGAGGTTCGGTAAATAATACGAGTCTGGGACATTGAGTAACCGCGTAGGAGTTTGGTGATCCAAGAATAGAAGGACAAGAATTGCAGGATGATAGAATTTTGATCTTCGAGTCGATCATTTCTGTGCACACTGGTACATACGAACCAGCAAAAATTTCATCCTTTCGGCTGATCTCCGGAGAAAGAATACGGTTCTGCGAAAAGTTTATTTCTCGAAAACGATCGGAGTAGCAACCGAAACGACCGTGACGAGATCGACTGAAACTTTGAATTTTCTTCAAACACCGCGATTCTCACGTTTCTCGTTCTTTTCTCTTTCCTGTTTCGCGAATAGGTAATTCGATAACTTCGTTTTTATAGTTCGCTATTCGCGTAAAAATACTACACGGAGCTCTTATATGATGCACCGCGGCAAGAACGTAAATAATATTTACGATTACGATACCTCCGAATACCTTCGGTGGTGTCTTCGACTTTATTTCAAGGCAGGATGATTCGTTGTTGACGGCACGACTTTTCAACTTTTAATTTCTCTCGAAATAGACGGAGCTTTCTAAATGGATCTTTTGATACACGCAACAAACATTTTGGCTACGTTTTGGTACCGCGGTCGCATAGTTTTAGCGTGGAACTTTCGTCGGTAGCAGTTTCGCGTGTATTTTAGAATCAGGCGCCCCGTTACATTGTATTATTAACACCAAATCGACCGGAAGAGTATTAATAGATCTCTTAGTCCCAGCGGTTATTGACTGAGATTGAATCAACGAGACAACGAATTCGCCGTCCGCGATTAATTAACGTATAAACTTATTTTTATGGAAAGTCGGATTTCTTTGTTTTCAATTCGTAAAAATGCTCCTACTGTAATGTTGCATTTGCGTACACGCGTCGTGGTTAATCGAGCGTCGCTTGATTTCGTGGTGTAATAAAGCAAAAATATTTTCTGAAAACAGAAATAATCATCGTGTTAAGATTTATTAGCAATCGTTCAGCAGAGTAAACGCACCGCTAGCTTTACTCGCGTTTACTAAATGGCATGAATGAACAACTCGGGCATACGCGTAATTTTCTCGACCGTTTAGCAAGTTAGACGTATTTGTGAAAAGAAGAAAGAGAAGGAGAAGAAGGACGTTTCGTAAACTATAAGATCTCATGGTGTTAAAGCGGAAGAAGGGAGGGGGGTTGAATCGTTGATGATACGTGGTCGTACGCATAATAGGGGCCGGTGGTATCTTGTCCTGTCCTCGCACTCATAACATCTATTTCCAGAACCGACCAACGACTAAGTTTAGATCGACTGTTCCATATACTCGAGCCATTCGCCCACTCGGGTCTACTCGCACGAAGAAAACTTGATAAACGAACAAATAAGCGATCCAAGCTCTCGCTGTCCTTCCCGATTTCTTGTTTCCGCCTTCACTCGAACGTTATCTCTTTCTACCGATAATGTCGCGAGTATCGGTAGCGTTCGATTATGGATAAATAAACGAGCGACACACCCTTTCGTAATTCGATGTTTCTTCGTCTATGTTCCAGGCGTTATACCACGATCGAAGCGTAAACGTTACCGATAACTTAAACCTTTGGCGTTGGATGGTTCATGATCGAGCAAAATCAACGTCGTTGGATCGATTGGATAACTAATTCGCGATAATAAACGTGGTCGACGATCGCTTACTATTGGCGAGGTAAGTATACAGAGACGAGATAAACACGGTTCTGCGCGCGAATTACCGGTGATACTGTATTTAGGTCGGTCAAGAGAGTGCAGCTCGTTTTCGTGCAGGATAAACATTTCTCTCATTTCCGATCTTTCCCATTTATTTGAATATTTACGGCGTATCTCGAATCGCCATCTATATATAGAACGTTTCGTAATTTACGTCACTGTTCTTCGATCAAAAACAAATCTAAATGACAGGCAATAATTTGATTTCATCTAGAAAATACGTTGTTTTAAGGGTCGAAATGAAGCCGCGATATAAAAAATTGGAGAAATAACGGTCGTAAAAGCGGTTAGCGTTACAAAACAATCAACTCGGAGAAAAACGGCGATCGTTTTTGTTTTCTCGTGTTTCGAGTTAAAAGTATCACTTTACTAAAAATATTTCAAGCATACGGCGCGAGAAATTTTAGCGATGTGGTTCATTGGTAACGAACGCATGACGCACAGTCTTCTTCTGCTTTTCCCTCTTCTTCTGGATTCTACGTCATACTTGGAATGCTGCGTGTCACACTCAGCGAAAACTGCACCGGAACATCTAACTTTGGTACGAACGCGAAGTAAGAAACTATGGAACCGAAACGATTCGATAAGCGAAGAATGTTGCGTTTTGTAAATGAGCGCCACGGGAAAAGCTGTCGATGTTTTGAATTCTCGAGAGAAACATGCCGCTTACGAAAAACAATATTCATCACGATTACGAAATTCGACGTTCGCGAGTGGAACGCGCGTAGCGATACTTGGTCGGAATTGGTGCGAAAAACTGATGGAATTTGAGCTACTTACGAAATTAGAGCGTTGCTTATTGTTAGTATAAGATGAACTTCGAAGTTCACGCTAATCATTTTTCGTGTTTTTTCACCTTTGCTGGCGTGTTTTCGTTACCGTGAAAAAGTCAAGATTTATTCAAGACCGTGACTCTGCTCGCGTGGTCGTCGTTGCGATCCCTCATCGATATTCTGTGTCTAGGTTCTTTGATCGATTTTCGTTGAACAGCAACCACTATTTTTTCGCTCTATCGAACAGAGAACACGCGATCGTATCCTCGTCGCGTATACATACAAGAGTATCCGCGTCTACAATTCATTTCCGTGACTTTAATAAGACGCTTATACGCGTTCGCAGCATCCAGAGGTAAAGCTCGACGAATGCGCGTTATAGTCCATTCGAGACGATAAGATGAAAGGTGGTCGGTGTCGTATCGAAAGAGCTTGACTAATTGCGAAATAATGTCGCTTTCATAGAGATTCGCGACACGACATCGCGTAAGCGCGAGCGTTCGGGTCGTTAGGTATAGATTCTAATACGCAAAGATAGATTCAGCGGTGAGGGGCGATCGCGTATATTTAGAAAAGTGTTCTGCTTGCCAGAACCGAGAAAGACTCGTATCTCGGCACCGCGTGCGCGATTTCTCTCTCGAGATTGTTTCTTCCTCTTTATCTTTCGCGCGATGTCTCGTTTATTGCTCGTACGGAACAGAACGTATTCTAACTCGAACTATCGAACATCGATTCATCGATAGGCTATTTAATCTCGCGTAGCGATTTCTGCAACCGTTCAACCGCGCGATCAGAGGTCTCGCGATATTTTTTCTCTTTCGATGTCGATGTTTCACAAACAAGGAAGGAAGACGAATATCAACGATATTAGTCAGACGCGAATGACAAGGAATTCGAACAGATATCGATACGATGTACTCGCTCAGACTTTTGATACACGGCCAGAAACGTCTCGGCGAAATTTGAATATCTCCCAAAGTTAAGGGTTGTCGCGAACCTGATGGCTCACGAATTAAAGGCTATTATCCGTGAAGCTATATGCATACGTGTGCGCGACGACATAACTCCGAGAGGAAAAAAAACAGCCGAACGCTCGTCGAAATCATCGATGCGATCGAAAAACTTATTTTCGTCGGGAATGTTGGCCAAGACCCACTTTTTCATCTCACGGTGTTCTATTTCCTGCCGTCGTTGATATGTATTTACTTTTTGTTCGACGAATCAGTTTAACGGCGATCGAATCGTTAAAAAAAAAAACATCGTGAAACAAACGAAATATTTAAACCCCTTTCCTTCTCTCGATCTTCCGGACTATCGGATCGTTATGAATATTACGCGAACGAGACGCACGAGTTTCGCTTACGTCGTTGGCTATCCACCGAGTTGTTCTCGAACCGATTTGGCAAATGGACAGCCAAATTCGAAAAGCCCGATACTTTCTTTTTATCTCGAAACTCTTGTTCGAGTACGATCGAATAATATAAAAAGTCATGCTAGTTCGTCATTCGATGTTCTAATTTCGATTCGAGGACGTCAACGTAAAATTCCTGCACGCTGACTTCTCCTACGTATCGTCATTCGACTAAATTAAGTGCAACGGTAATTAATCTGCTATAAGAATGCTTACCATCGATTATTATGCTAATTTTATCTTTCATTGTCATTTCGCGCGATTCGTTTTCTCTCGTACGAAGGACGCTTGAACTTGAAAACCAAATAAAGAAACGTCGATCCAACTGTTTACAAAGTAAGCATTCTAAAAATAGCAAATCAAAGAATGGCTCGCGAAGCGTTAGAGTATCGTCAATAACTAATGATAAGCGATTTTTCGTATCCAAGGAATCACGATCGAATGGACGTAGCAGAAAAGTTGACGAGTTAATTAGTTCGGTTTCAAGTTCAATATCAAACGGCAGGAATCGGTAGGTAGAAGAGGAGGGTGGAGCTTTGGTAGCGCGCAGTCGGTTAGTCGTGCGTAAATGGGGTCGCGAGTCCAGGAAGGATAAAAAGTCGCGCAGGATTGGAAGGATATCGATGTTGGAAGCCAATAAAGGCTATTATCCGTGAAGCTATATGCATACGTGTGCGCGACGACATAACTCCGAGAGGAAAAAAAACAGCCGAACGCTCGTCGAAATCATCGATGCGATCGAAAAACTTATTTTCGTCGGGAATGTTGGCCAAGACCCACTTTTTCATCTCACGGTGTTCTATTTCCTGCCGTCGTTGATATGTATTTACTTTTTGTTCGACGAATCAGTTTAACGGCGATCGAATCGTTAAAAAAAAAAACATCGTGAAACAAACGAAATATTTAAACCCCTTTCCTTCTCTCGATCTTCCGGACTATCGGATCGTTATGAATATTACGCGAACGAGACGCACGAGTTTCGCTTACGTCGTTGGCTATCCACCGAGTTGTTCTCGAACCGATTTGGCAAATGGACAGCCAAATTCGAAAAGCCCGATACTTTCTTTTTATCTCGAAACTCTTGTTCGAGTACGATCGAATAATATAAAAAGTCATGCTAGTTCGTCATTCGATGTTCTAATTTCGATTCGAGGACGTCAACGTAAAATTCCTGCACGCTGACTTCTCCTACGTATCGTCATTCGACTAAATTAAGTGCAACGGTAATTAATCTGCTATAAGAATGCTTACCATCGATTATTATGCTAATTTTATCTTTCATTGTCATTTCGCGCGATTCGTTTTCTCTCGTACGAAGGACGCTTGAACTTGAAAACCAAATAAAGAAACGTCGATCCAACTGTTTACAAAGTAAGCATTCTAAAAATAGCAAATCAAAGAATGGCTCGCGAAGCGTTAGAGTATCGTCAATAACTAATGATAAGCGATTTTTCGTATCCAAGGAATCACGATCGAATGGACGTAGCAGAAAAGTTGACGAGTTAATTAGTTCGGTTTCAAGTTCAATATCAAACGGCAGGAATCGGTAGGTAGAAGAGGAGGGTGGAGCTTTGGTAGCGCGCAGTCGGTTAGTCGTGCGTAAATGGGGTCGCGAGTCCAGGAAGGATAAAAAGTCGCGCAGGATTGGAAGGATATCGATGTTGGAAGCCAACCGCGAAACTCGAACGCGTAGGCGTGGAGAATAGTAGAGCGAAAGGGTTGCGACAAGGGGGTTGGTCGTTTCGGGAAGAGGTGCAACGTGGCGTGGCGCGTGCGCAGAAACGGTGCTATCGGCAGCGGCGTCGGTGTCGGCGTCGGCGTCGACGTCGAGGTGTCACGACGATATTTCGTGCGGTTAGTTGGCGCGCGGGGCCCCGGTGATTGGGACGGCCAAGACAGGCGCTCCGTATAAAAGGAGAAAGAAGAGACAAAAGACAGGGCCAAACGAACAAGATAAACTGTTTAAACGGAGCGACGACCACACAGTGACGACGACGACGACGACGAAGACGAAGACGATCGAACATTGAAATTTCATTCTATATATATTTTTTTCCTTTTCGCTTCTTTTCTCTTTCTTTTGCCTCTTACGAGACCAAATCGAGAATCAAAGTGCGCGCATCTCGCGGAAAAACAGCCGCGAACTTGACCGATTTCTACCCATCGAGGGTGGCAGTAATCAACGGACACACGGATTACGCGCACCATCGTACCGACTGAATTTCTATTTTGGATACCTAACGGCTCGCTTCAAGTAAGTTTCCCTGTTTTGACAGGCTGGATGTTTGATCGAGGAAGGATATACGAGCGAGCGAGAATGGATGGAAGTACAGTGTGCCCTTTACGCTCTCTCTCTCTCTCTCTCTCTCTATCTCTATTTTACGCGTCGCGTCGTCATTTCTTTATATTTGATCTACGGTGAATCGCGGGTGCTTCTGGTGCTTCAAGTGTTTCAAAGTGTTTTACGTATCGTTCCGTGAGCACACGACCAACTGCCAGCCTCGTTCGTATATCCCTTGGAGACATAATTTGGATCAGAACGGTGCGTAACTTGCTTTTATTCGCTTGGACAATTCGTCGATTTTTGTGCGCGATCCTCCGTACTTTATTGCCTACAGTTATAGGAGAGAAGTCTCTCTCGAGTTAATAGAGCGAGAAAAGTCGAAGAACATTTTCGAGTCAACGCGTCGACTATCGCGAAGGTTAAGAGTGATCGGTGCTAACGATAAGATACTTAATTCGAACGAGGGTAATACGTTTCGGTTCGTGTCGGAGCAAACACGACTCTTTCTACTGCGTCGGTGAACGCGTCCTACCTTTCGCTGTAACTTTTCGTGCGCGATTATGGAATCGAAACGCGTTAAGGGCGAGAATTCGAAAAACGAGGACGGTCAAAGCGACGACCTTGACACGTGTTTCGATCCGAGTGCAATGTCGCGAACGATAGATTAGGAACAAAACATCGTAAACGAGCGGAGGATCTTTAACGACTCTTCTAGTTAATAGTCGAAACTATCGTTTAGCGGCGTCGTGACTAATCGCCACGAGTCTCGTTGCATCCAACCACCGGGAACTATTCGTAGACTACTATCTAGGTATCTAGGCTCGAAGTCCGTTTATTTTTAGAAAAGCGTAACGCGAGGAGAAACGGTCGTCGTTCCGTTCGATGTTTCGTCCATCTTTTCTCACCACGTTTTCTTAACTTCTGTCCGCGTTTTTTCGATTCGCGGATCCGCCGTTTGCATCGTGATTCCGCATTTCGGTCTCGAAAGGCGGAAAGTTGGAACACGTCAGATCGAATAGGAGAGAAGAAATTTTATCGGAGAAAGTTGAATCGTTGCATCGAGTCGGTCCTCGTTAGCTGACGCGCGATAGTAACAGGTTCGACGGGACAAAAATTCTTGTCCGATCTTTCGCTCGATGTACTTGGGTTTCAACGATATTTATAGATCTACTTCATGGTCAGCCAACCAGAAAATTACACCTGTTGATCGTCGAAGACTTTGTAGTCGAAATTAGCACGATGAATGACTAATTTATTGTTTCGAAGCTAGCTTTCGTACTTGCATCGTTCGACTCGTTTTCTTTTTTTAGCTCTTTAGACGGTAGTCACCCCATTGCATTTTCGGTCGTAGGCAGTTGTGTCGAGACGATGAACGGTTCCGCGTAGGCAGGTCGAAGCGAATAAATCGACGTCGTTCGAGTTTCGAAATACAGATTGTTGCGTCGTCTTTCGAAGTAAATCGATGCAGCCAGGGTATAAGATTTCGACGGTTTACGCGTTAACGTGGATTTGAGTCAGTTCACGAAAATAGACGTTGCGAGGATAGCCACGCCGAGAAAACAGTAGTGTAGAGAGAAGAAGCGTGCGACGGAACGCATGCCCCTCGACTAATAATTATAACTTCTAGGTCGAATTTAGTACGGTCGGGTAAGTTTATCTCGGTATTCGTTTCACCGATGACCTAATATTCTTTTCCCGTAGCTGCAATTCGAGACGTGAATCATTTCCTCGTGATCGATCCACCACGGTTTCCGAGTCTCTCTCGCATTCTTACCGTTTCGTTTCGAGCCTCCCCTCCAAAGCGGTTAACTCGACCGACACGCGTCGGTTATCTTTTAATTTTAACGCTGCACCGATTCATTTTTACAGAAATAACCGTGAATTACGACAACTTCGAGGACAGGCAGGTTACCCTTAAAATAAAGGATTATCCAGCGACCAGATGTTTCTAGAAAGAATCGTGATCTCGAAGCGTCGCGCGTAGATAGGAAAATCGGACGATCCGTCTTCGACGTCTCGATCGCTGACCCAACAACCGAGCCGAGCGATAATTAGACTAGCAATCTTTGTCGCAATACATGCTTATCAGCGCCTTCTCATCGCGACATCGTTCGCGAAAGATATTTTCGTCTCGTCGTTACTAAACGGTGCTTCATTCATTCCATTCCTTTTATAACTACGCACGCATCGGTGCTACTTGTTATTAGGTCAACCTGTCATCGAATATATTATCATCGCGGGAGGACAATAAAATTATGCCAAGTCGTCGTAGCTGTCGTTTGTACGCGACAACCGAAAATATTGAGACGGTGGGGCGCTTACTCCGAGAACACCTGTTCGCTCGTTAATTTCGACGGTGCTCTTTCGAAAGCTACGTCTCCGTACATCTCGTTTCGAGAACCTCTTTCGCACCGTCGCGTATCGGTGCGAATCTTCGCGACGGTTGCGTTCGTTGCCCTTCGTTCATAAAAATGGGTACTCGGTTCGGCTATTTTTAATAGGAACAGCCACCAGCCGCTATCTAGGTGATTGCCAAAGGTTTCATCGAATCGAAATGCATGGCATCCTTCGTTCGATCGATCAGAGTTTCAAAATTGATGCCTGCCCACCATAGGTTTGTCCACGATCGTTGCTCCTAATAATTACATTTATTCCTCTCGCTGCCAGTTAGTCGTCTAAAACCTTTACGTGTCCAGGTTCGAAGGATCGAGACGACCTTTTTTACTCGCAGTTTGGTAAAAGCCTACATTCGAAACGATAATTGGATCGTGGCGAGATATCTCGTTCCCGAACGTCCCTTTCGATCTTCGGTCATTCCCTTCTTCGCTTGGCACGAGTAAACCTATCCTGTCAAAAGTGTATCTCGAACAAAGAGCAAAGAACTTGCCGTTTCGAAAGGTCTACTCGAACTTTAGTTCCGTATAGCGAAAATCGAGGTCATCGACCATATAATTGTTGCACCGACGACCAAAGTTAAACGCGTTACCTTTAACTATTCGTATTTTAACTATTCGTTTCCTCTCGTTTTCGTTGTTTGAATTTTTTTCTCTTTCGAGATCCGCTAGTTGAGCGTATTCGACTGTTCGGGAACGATTTCGGTCCATGTTAAGAATCGTTTGAATCGCGGATAGCGAAACTGTGCGACGAAACAACAACGGACATTGAGGCGCACGAAGACGAAACGAAGGAAAGGATTCGAATAAGAACGGTCGTTACGCAGCGACAACAATCTCAGGAATGTTTCGAGGCTCGTTGCCAAGTCTTACCGCTGACGTTGTAACGCTTCACCCATTCGGTCTGCTTTGCTTCGAATCCGTCGAATCGGCTTTGCTTAGATTTCAAATTTCGGACTATCGTCCTAACATTCTCGCGGTCAACAGAGAGTTATCCGTGAAAATTGTTGACACGTCCGTGATCGGAATCGAAAACGTAGTGACGCGTGGCATCAAAGATAACGTTACGCGTTTCCGCTGGGTCGTTCATCTTCGTGGATAATTCCTCGTAAAAATCTCGTAATCTCTTTGGAAATTTGGTCGAAACGTTTGATAGGCTGACGAGCTTAATCGCGGAACGCACGTTCACGTTTCGATGATCAAATGCCAAGCATAATAACCGATTACCAAGATAACTGGTTCACCTATTTTCGAGCCAAGAGCCACATTAATAATAGAGATGTTACGTCATAATTCGGCCTTGGATATCTTGGGGAAAATATGCTTGGAACCATAAATTCCACGAAAACGTGTAGATATCGCTTTCTCGTTCTCCACTCATTGGTCAGGCATTTTTCCGTCGCTTCGAGGTCACTCCTGTTCGATGAAACGATTCCCTATGATCGATCCTCGATCCGTCGATCATCGACATCGATCGATACGACAGCTATTAAAATTAAAACATCGGACAAGTATAGATTTCGCGGGCACTATCCTCGTGGAGTTATGTAAAGGTCTATTTTGAATTTGTTAGTCGTTAATATATGTATATCGGTTCGAATAACATATCGAGCTCGTGTTAGCCGCGACTTTAAAATCGGAAACGCGATCGTCCAACCGTACGTCTCCCTCGATTAATCGTCGACGCGTTGAATTCTACTAATTTGGCAGAGAGTGTAAAGAAACCGAGTTCGAAAGGAACGACGCAGCGAAATGGTTCGACCTGAAAGAAACGATCGTTGAACCGTAGGTTCGGAGAGGATCCAGAGAAACAAGGAGCGAGGTAGAGAAGATAGGTTGGATGGTGCCGCGGGTCGGCGCCGTTTGAACCGCTTTCGAAAGGATCGAACAGATTTTCTTCCGAAAGAGAAGGGAAAAGAAGAGCAGCGGAAGAGTTATCGAGTTCGAAAGGGTTAGGGTGGCGCGCCACCCGTTAATTTGGCGGTAAAGAGCGGTGCGAAGGCGGCCCGACACCATGGGGGTCGCCGACGATTTCGCGCCGAGCTTCACCCAGAAGCCGCAACTTCGGCAAGAGGACGACGGGAACCGGCTGATATTCGAGTGTCAGTTGATCAGTTCGCCGAAACCCGAGATATCCTGGTATCGTGGCGAAACCGAACTCAGCCAAGATGCTAGGACCAACTTCAAGATGCAGAGCATCGGGACGAACAAGTTTCTCGTCGTCCTGGAGCTCGACGACGTTATCGAGACCGACGCGGGACTGTACAAGGTCAAGGCCAAGAACAAGATGGGCGAGGTCGCGGCTTCGATTAATCTCAACTTCAGCCGTGAGTATCCTCCATGTTGTTTCTCATATTTAATTCATTTAAAAGCAACCCTGTCGAAATTCGCGTAAACGAACAAGTATTGTAGTAGGCACTGCAGTTTCTACCAGTGCCAATTGTCGCGTTAACGTTCTTGACCCTTCCGTTACCGGTCACGGACCTCGTCCGATGCCTTAAATCGAAATACCGTTCCCGTTTCGTTAAGACCGCTTAAGTATTCCTCGCTCGAAACACGTTCGAACGGATCGAAATAAAATTTCATTATTTTCCAGCTGTCGATGAGCCTAGAGAGAAGTAAGTCCGACGATCTTAAGCTTCGAAACGTAACAGTTTGTCGCTTCTCCAGGCTCTACTATCGCTTCTTTTCCTTTAACGCTTCACGTACATATATTTTTCGTTTTTTTTTTCTTTTTAATACAAGCGCCTATCATTTTTCGTTCGCTTCGCTCACCGTATCTTTTTATTTTTCTGTATGGTTTTAGCTGCGGAAGAACCAGACAGAGAAGGGTGAGTCGCTTGCTCCATTTCCCGCGAAATCTCCGCAATCCTGTGTTCGACGTTGTTTTGTCCGTTTGAAAATTTGATTTGGTTACCCCGCTAACATTATTATCGATCAGACGAAGGAAAAAGAGGAACAGGCGTAACGCGATCATCGCGACGAATTTTTCCGCTCGAACTTTCGCGTCGCTGTCCAAGGAGAAAAGGTAGAAAGGACGAGCATAGCGCAACGAGTGGTTTCGTCGATAATGTTTAGACGAGCATCAAGTGCGACCGGCTAAAAATATTCGTCGCGGAATGCTCGCTATTTTTGGGCGCGTTCGCGCATGCACGCGCGCGCGTCCGATAAGAGAAACCGACAGCTATGCCCGACAGCTTCTAACTCAGCTCCGATCGCTCAGTTTTCTTCTTCTGCCCACGCATCAGTGTCTGACTGGTCGACGTGGAAATAGCCACGAGAGAGAACATCTCCTTCTCTATTTTCATTCTAGCCAATCTTCGAACCAACGACGTTTGCTCGAGGAACGCGCCACGTCTATTCTTCGACTCGTTCGTTCTTCAATTTCTCCGTTAACGAATGTTTCTACGTGTTCCTGTAGCGATTCGCTGCGTTGGTTCGCATACGGCGATTCCTGTCGAACGATAGTTCGCGATTCGCACGGTAAATCGGCTCGAAAGTCTCCGGGACGACCGTCGAGACGTTATATTTTCGGATCGGTTCGACGGACACGCGATTCCCGTGAATTTCTAAAAGTAACGCGAGCCTTCGCCGTTTCCAAATAGCGACGTCATTTTCCATCTCTTACCTCGAATCCGCTGTCATAAATCGACGTTCGAAAGAAAAATACATAAAAGTCGGGCCGGAGAAAGAAGGCGCGATTCTTCGAAAAGAATTTTTGCGTGCGAAACGTTGGGAGCAAGAACGAGGACGTACCGTGATTCGACTAATCGTGACGAATCGACTAATCGAGTGTACACCGTCGGGAGTCGAAGAAAACAGCTGCAGCCTACTTCTTCGCTAAAGTTAGTTCCTCGTGTCGGCCGTTCTTCTTTCCTCTCGCGCGATCTTTGTAGGTTTCCAAGTTCGAAACGATCCATTCCGTTTCCCGTTTCCCTTTCTCGCTTTTCTCGAGTATCCGCGGTAAATTCGTCGCTTACAAAGTAGCCAAGAATGCCCCGAGTAGCTACGTTTCGCAAGGAACGTTCCGATTAACGTTCGCTGCCCTGCCATATTGTCAGCGAAAGATGAGAGAAAATTCGAGAAAAAACGGATGGACGTTCATCGTGGCAGTGAACGCGCTAAGCGTCCTACGTTGAACGTTCAACGAAATTAGGACGTTGAACTTGCACGTTAAAACGACTCGAAGCAAGTAGCTCGAGTGTTTCTAATACGAGCCATTAACGTTCGCTCTAGTTAACAACGGCTCCTTGATACGATACTCTCTATTTCCTAGACTCATCGTCCAAAGAAAACAAAAGTTATTTCTGGCACCGTTTCGAGAAAATTACGATAAATCTTGAAGCTAAACGCTCGTTGCCAAAGCCTCTTTTACCTTTGTCCGATCAACCATCGACCTGTTCCACCGAACGATCGTACCGTTGCTCAACGTCGTCGTTCGTCCATTTAACGAAACAAACTTTGATAATCGTTTGTACGCGTGACGTGTGATACCACGAGTGATGTTCACGAATTAACAAGGAGTTTGAACGTTTGCCGTGTATCTCGTTACGGCGCGGCGGAAATTGAAACGCCGCGAACGAAGCCGCGAAATCATTAACCGTTGATCGGCATTTGCAGACAAATCGATGGTATCGCGCCAACTTTTGCGAAAAAGCCTGCTATCAGACAAGAAGACGACGGTAAACGACTACTTTTCGAATGTCGCATCACAGCCGATCCCACGCCAAAGGTTACGTGGTTTCACGATGGAAATATGGTCAAAGATTCACCGAGGCACAAGGTTAGCTCTTCGAACCGCGTATACGTATACTCACGGGCTTTATTTTTACTCTCTCCATTTTCATCGATCAACGATAACGATTTCAGCTCACCGTCGACAAAGATGGTCACTCGTATTTCGCGACTTTGGAAATAAAAAATGTGACCGTTGAGGATGCTGGCAAATATAAGGTCACCGCGAAAAACGAGCTCGGCGAATCTAACGCTACTATTTCCTTAAATTTCGACAGTAAGTATCAACGAAGGAACGGTAGAATCTATCGTTGTTCATTACGTATCTAAACATCGAACGTGGAGTTTACATTTGTTCGACGACGCTTCGTTTTCACCGAAAAATGGAAAAATTCCATTCGTCGATTCGGTGCAATTAACGCGTATCTTTAGAAAGTAATTCGGAGCAAATGTAAATTCTAACGTCCCTAACGTAATTCACCTTTCAGTTTCTTTGTTTTCATCGCCTTCGCTCATTCGGGATGTATATCGATGATCCTCTCTTTATCTTTGCTTCTAAGTCTATGATTTCTTTTCACGTTTCTCTATCACCTACTATGTGTCTTGTTCTCCTCTTTTCGTTGTTTTATTATTTATTTTTTATCAGTTCGTCCATCTGTTTTCTTTTTTTTCTCCTCCAATATTCTGTCTCCATCCGTGCACACATTTATTTTTTAATAGTTTATCTCGGTCGAGCAATGAGCACGTATCGATTGTCGGCTCGACGGAGCGACGATATACAGCCCGGTTGATTCTTCGACGAACAACGAAGAGTAGATCGCAGATCAACGTCTAATCAATCTGTAACGAAACGCTGCTTCAATTACGTATTAATTTCGATTGACATTCCACGTATCCGATCCGAATTGACAAAATCCTTCACCGTAAGGAGTTATTTGAAAAGAATACCGATACATCGAACACGCGCAACCTCGTTTCTCGTACGACGTTGCGCGCGCTCCAGATATCGATATTCTTATCCGTAACCGTCGAGGATGGACTGATCGGATCGAAGGATGGAATGAAAATCGGCCTTACGCTGACGCTTCGTTAGGTTGCTACGATCTCACGAACATACAAACATACATATACATTTTTCTTCTGTTCGTTTTCGCGTAACACAACGACGCAACGTTAATCGCGTGATTTGTACGAGTAATTTATATCTGTGTTTGACGATTTACCGATTAATTCGAATCTACTAAAAGAACGTGATCGTTAATCACGCTACGAGCGTACTTTGATTACTCGTTTAACTCGCTTAACCAATCGTTGCATTTACTAAAGACGTTACACGAGTGATAAGTGTCCGTAAGCTTTTATGCGTCGCAACGGTACAAAATACAGTAAAAACGTAGACGGAAGTTTTATCGGACAAAAGGTAGGCGAAACACGGTCTATCGATAAAACGAAAGCAACCTAAGTTAGGAGATGTCGGTTGGACGGGCAGATCATAGATGTTTGGTGCGTTTTACGCGGACGGTGCGATCACGAGACGAACCGATGGAGAACCGCGAAGGACATCGTTGCCGTTGGCGATGTTCTCCGTTCGTAGGCGTTTGCGTAACAACCTCGAGGGGGAATAGGCAATCTCGAATCGATACGTGACTCTGACCTTGGATCGAAGGGCTTAAACCTTCCGCAACCAGGTCAATGAATACGATTAAAAAAAGAAAACGAAAAGCGTTCTTCGACGCAGCGACACGACGATAAGGATGCGAAGGGATTAAGCGTTAAAGATATCGTGTTAAGAGATATTGGACACATGGATCGTTTGTGTCGAACACAGGCGACGAGGCACCCGTACCGGAGGACGGTATTAAACCGACATTCACCGAACGACCAGTGATCAGGCAATCGGACGACGGTAACACCATCACCTTCGAATGTCGACTAGTCGGCGATCCGAAACCGAGTGTCAAGTGGTAAGATACCGTGCACGACCCTATCACGACGGAAGTACGCTCGAACATCACCGGCCGTACTCTACGTACAAATGTCCCTAATTTCCCTTCTTCGGCCGTGTTCGGTTTCACCGCCACAACACGACACCGACAAACAGACCTTTCGTTCGTTCGTTGTCGCGTACTTCCGGAAATCGTGTACCTTTTGGAACGTAATCAGCATGCAGCACGATTTCTCGTTTACGCGAACTAGGTATCACGGTACCGAGGAGGTGAAGGAAGGAGGAAGATTCGGCATGTCGCTGGAACTCGATCAGAAGTTGTATCATCTGGCGAGATTAAGGATAGACAACGTGGCGAAGGGAGACGCGGGCGAGTACAGAGCGGTCGCGAAGAACAAGCATGGCCAGGGAGTCGCAACGATTAATCTCAACTTCGAGGGGGGCGATAAATTGAAGTATGCATCGCTGGTATTCGTCTCGAGAAGCGACTGCTTCTCGCGTCGCTGAAATATCCACTTTTCTTCCCGTTTTCTTTATCTCGTTTTTTTTTTAAACCCCGATTCTCGAGACTCAGTCTCGAACGTTAGCGGAATATTCGTCAGCGACGCGACGAGCGCGCGTACATCTCGAACGAACGAACAGATTCGATGCAGATCGAACGTTCGCGCGACGGCAAACGGAAACCGAGTGTTTCAATAGTCGATTTACGCAGAATACCGGACGGTAAGCCGCCTCGTTTCCCGAAGAAGCCAACGATCCGTCAAGAAGGAGACGTTCTGATCATGGAGTGTATCCTGGAAGCTCACCCGGTCCCGGACATAACCTGGTATCAGGGTCAGAAGTCGATCAGCGACAGCAAACGCGTCAAGATGTCACGCAAGGCGACCGGCAAGGACACTTACTTGCTCACGCTCGAGATTTCGAATCCGACCAAGGCCGATGGTGGAAATTATCGATGCAACGCGTTTAACAACTTTGGCGAGAGTAACGCCAACATCTCCCTCAATTTCCAAGGCAAGTCCTGTTCCGTGCGACCGAAAGAAACGACGCGTCTCGTTGGTCTCTTCTTTCTCGCTGTTGCTAATATACCAATCTGTATATTAACTCGAGTTTTATCTATCGTGCTCGATCGAACCGTCGACCGTATTTATACATGCATACACATAACGCGTTGAAACTCGACGAAGAGACCAATGAGAGGTTCCGCGCAAACACCCCTTTTTTCTCTTTTCCTAGCACGTTCTCTCGACAGGAACTGTTCGAAACAATATCTCGGAAGAATATAGATTCTCTCGTATAGAATTACAGTTGCAAATAGCGTTACTTTTCGATAGTTTTCCGCGTCATTCTTTTAATCAGGTAAGTTCACGTTGCGATGTCGCTGACTAATCGTGGAGTCTTTCTCTCTTCTCGCTTCTTAACACGCGCTACCTGACCCGAATTTCGTACGTACGAACGAATTCGGTCAAGGTTATTCGTGCGTAGAAAACTAACATCGTCGAGCTAACACGAAAACTCTACTCGAATTCGTGTAAATAGAAAAACATCGCGTAAATCGAACCGAATCACCGTTTACTCGCGATTTCTGCCTAACCGTGGATCTTTCCAAGACGCAGAAGAAGGACCTGGTTTCGCGCCGACGTTCGTCGAGAAACCCCGCATCATTCCGAACGAAACCGGTACCTTGATCACGATGAAATGCAAGTGCAAGGCCAATCCAAAGCCCGAAGTTACGTGGTTCCGTGGGACCAACGTCGTCAAGGAATCCTCCAAGATCTCGATCAAGACGAAGACCGTGGAAGAAGACGTTTACGAATTGATCATGGAAATTAAGGTGACGATGCGTTCGGACGAAAATCTACGCGACGATCAAAGTCTGAATGTTCCGTTAACGTTGATTGCAGGACCCTTCGGCACCGGACGGTGGCACTTATAGGTGTCACGTGCAAAACGAATACGGCGAGAGCAACGCGAACTTGAACCTGAATATCGAGGCTGAACCAGAACCGGAAGGAGACGGGCCGACGTTCGTCGAGAAGCCGCGTATTCAGTCTCAGAATCAGGGTAAATTAGTGATAATGGATTGCAAGGTGAAGGCGAATCCAAAACCAGAAATCGTATGGACTCACGCGGGTGCGGTGGTGAAACAATCTTCGAAGATCTCGATCAGTATCGTTCAAGAAAAGGAAGATATCTATTATATTAAACTGTCTCTGAGCGATCCTGGTCCGGAAGATTCGGGACTTTACAAATGCAACATCAAAAACGCTCTTGGAGAACTAAACGCCAACCTTACGCTTAACGTTGAAAGTGAGTTTATATTTTATAAACTATATATAGCTATTATATTAGCTTTTTTACCGTCGTTTTAAACGCTTAACGTCGCCAATATTTCTTCCTCAGTTATACCCGTGATCAAAGAAAAACCAAAAGTGGTAAAAATCGTGAAGAAGAAAACGGTTATAGTCGAGTGTCACGTTCTTTCGAAATTCACGCCAGACTGCACCTGGTTCAAAGAAACGCAAGCCGTGAAGGAGGACAGCAGGCACAAAGTGCACGTCGAGCAAGTGAAAGAGGTCCGTGTTACGGCTGACCGTCGTCTAGTTTCGATCTCCGAACGTCCGACGAGCGCGCTTTACCGTATTCTTTCGTTTGCAGGGAGAATTTGCCGTTAAATTAGAAATCGAACAAGTGTCGTCTGCCGACAAAGGTATTTACAAGTTAGTAGCTCGCAACGAGAAAGGAGAAGCGACGTCACAGGTTGTGGAAGTTACGGAAATTATGGAAGAAGGAGAAAAACCGAAGATAGCGTCCGGTTTGAAATCAGCGGTGAATATGTTTCTTTTCTTTTTAACTCGTTCTCGACCTCTTATCGATCGCGATCATTCGTTCGAAAACGATCACGTATTATCCGTTTCAGACGATCGAGGAAGGTAAATCGATCGAACTGGTCGCGAGCCTCTCGAAACAGGACCGTAAAGTAACCATCACCTGGTACAAGTAAGCGAATCGTTTTAATTTATTTTCGTTCTTAATCACTCTGCCGCTAAATCTATCTACGTACGCGCGATGTTTATAGAGATTCCACGGTAGTAAAAGCTTCCAAAGACATTATGATATCTTTCAACGGCACCGACATGAAACTGAACATCACGTCTGCTTCCACTTCGTTCTCTGGAACTTACAAAGTCGTTGTCAGCAACGAATACGGCCAGGACGAGTCGTCTGCCCGGCTGGTTGTCAAGGTAAGATACTCGAATACGATCGGTAATTAAATTCGACGTTACCTACACTCCCCTGTACGTTGTGTCGTCGAATCGTATCCCTTTTCCACGATTCTCGATGCCATCGATAAGATTACGGTATCGGTATCCAAGTTGACCTTGAAAGAGACGTTGACAATCGTTGTCTGTAAGTGCCCTTAAATGTTGCATGCAATTCCTTGTCCGTATTGTAGAAGAAGGAAGAGAAGAAAGAGGAAGAAGAGGAAGAAAAGAAGAAGAAGAAGGTCGAAAAGAAAGAGGAGGAGGAAAAGAAAGAGGAGAAGAAAGAAGAGAAGAAGGAAGAGAAGAAAGAAGAGAAAAAGGTAGAGAAGAAAGAGGAGAAGAAGGCAGAGAAGAAAGAAGAAAAGAAGGAAGAGAAGGTAGCGAATATCGTTGCCAGCGTTAGAAACTTTGCTACGAAAAGCTGCTTCCTCTATTCGCTATATTTGCTCGTTTGTTTTTCAACCGTGTAAATATCCATAATTAACGCTTTATCTTATCATCCTCGATACGATACACCCGTCGCGCTATTCTAACAATACATTGGCTGTCCATATTCGTTTACACGTACATATGTACACACTTTTGTCGATTTTTCGCCGAAGCCTCCAAGGATCCGGGAGTTATCTTCGTCCTCTATTTTTTACGATGGATAATCGTTTTTTCAAATCGTCGAACGGTTTATCAATATTTTTTTTTCTTTCATTTTTTTCAAGGATATACTCGACAACAGACCAAACGGTATCGACAAACCTGCTACCAAGAAGGTAAACATGATTTTTTTGTTAATTCCGTATGAAAGGAGCAGAATTTTTTTTCGAAATGGTCCGGATAAATTTTATAACTCCGTAAATATGAAATACAAATCCAAGTACGGCAATTACCTTTTGCTCGCTCCCTGTGATCGTTACATTTGTGTCTCATCGTTTTATTTGTATTCGTTCGAAAAGTTATTGTATCGCATTTAAAAAATACTGATTGTTCAGTCGGTATCGAGCACTAATTCGATTGTTGGTTTCTTTGTTTCAGAAATTGGAAGTTATTCAGGTGAGTGACTGGCTCGAATATTCGAATTTCACAAAGTATGCGCTCGAATCGATTCGGTCGATTTTTTCTTCCAATTGCATTGCGAACCGGTACAGACAGATTTAATCGCTCATTCCTCTAAAATAATTATCGTATCTTTTCAGCTTTATTAATGCTCAAACTCTCTGCATTAACCGATCTATGAATTTGTTTCAGCGACTGATTACTCGCGTTGCGTTAAAATGTCTACGCTGCTACTTTATGATTTATGCGAAATCCCTATACGCTCATACTTCATTTACACGCTATACGATATTTAAACATCAAACTGCTTTTACGTTCATTTTTATTATCCTCTCCTTAGAAGCTGGGCTATTTACCTCGCAAATTTTAATTTCCGTTTAGCTTTTAGTTTAGAGCATGGTTTGCTTTCTGTTCGTAGTTTAGAAGCTTGAGCTTTGCATGAGTGTCTACTGAAAATTGATCACGTTTATTCATATTCTGTTCTTTTTATAACGCGTACAGAAGGAAGAAGAAATTGCAAATAACGTTGAAGCGAGAAAATCGTTGAAGGTAAAGGTGTATAATTCTATTTCAAATGCGGGACAATTATTCCGACGAGATAATTATATTTCATCTAAACTCTGTATTTCTTTTATTTTCCTGCGTAGAAGAAACCGGAAGAAAAGGTCGAAGAGAAAATCGAAGAAAAGAAGGAAGCAGAAAAGGTAATAATGATTCGCGTTTTAGAAATGTTTGATCGTATTAAAAGCAAATATCCAAAATTTTTTATACGAACAAAATTTATCTTCGCAGAAAAAGATCGTGAAAAAGGCGGAAGAAAAGAAGGAGGTAACAATATAAAACTCGATTCGGATTCTTAACGTTCTTTTCGATGCTTAATACTTGTTCGTTTGTTCGATTTCAGGAAGCTTCGTTGAAAGCAGAGAAAACGGTAGCTCGTAAACAGTCTATCAGTAGGGTAAGTTTCGAAAATCGAAGAACGAAGTGGGAAATCGTATCGATTATTTTTTGGTTTAATTTTTGTTACAGGTGGAAGAATTACGAACAGAGAGTCGAAGAAGCTCGCTGGTATCCACCGAAGAAAAGGTAACGTTTCACTTTATGTTCGCTTATTTGTTAAATACATTCAAACGACTCACAACTCTAGCTGCGATACACGATTCGGTCGAAGCAATTCAATTATTTACTTATTTATTATTATTTTTCTTAACGCATAGACGTTCGAAGATGGTTATGCATCGTCACGACGCTTTTCTGTTCAAAAGGTACACGCTATCGCGAAACAATTTATATACATTTACACTACACATCGCGAGAAAGTACGCATGTTTCTTTACTAATTATTTCTTTTTCGTCTATTCATAGACCGAGGAGGAAGTGAAGACGGAAAGTCGACGGTCTTCCATCGTCGAACAGAAGGTGACCGAAAAGGTAAGAAAACGTTTATCGATAATCAACATTTGTGAATCATTGTTTTATCCGTTTCGTGTAGTTCTTTTGTGTAGTAACTTTCGAATCGATTACAACCTATTGTGACGTTCAAAATGTTGTCCAACATTTGTATGTACTAAGTGTTTTCGTGTGATTGAAAAATTAAAAATTCGAAAGATTGTTATCTTTTACGAAAGTAGTAAGTATCGTGTGTATTGTCCGACCTTCTTGCAATGGACACAAGAAGGGAAGTAACTTTAAATGTATAACCTTGTTTTATTGTCCGCATAAATTTACATATACACACTTGAAACACGAAACACGAACCAGGTTACAAGTATAGGATTTAGAAAACGTTATAGAACACGAACGAGTTTTCGAATCTTTAGAAGTGGGCAATAAAGGTAATTTCTGTTTTATTATTTTTGAAATTTTAGAGACAAAGTGGTAGTCCAAAGTTTAAGTCTACATATACACCTCCCTATAGCACGAAGGTACACGAAACATTCTATTACACTTTAAACACGATTCCATTAGTCGTAGCAAACTTAATCAACACTCGATTCATCCTTTCAGGATGAGCCGTATTTAAAATATCTTGTATTTAGGCGAAAATCAGAATACGAGGCGAAGGTACATAAACCATTTTTTTTTCTCTTTTTTTATAATAGAGTTCGAATAAAAATATCGATACAATTGGTATCGTGTACATTCCTACCAATAATGTTATTTTAGATTATGCCGAAAGAAAATATTAAGAAAATCGAGCCTAAGCGTATGGACGAGATCGAGGTAAACTGATTAACAACAACTTTCTTCGAAGTTCTCGTTGACAAAATTGAAATATTTCTAAAACAAAAAACATATTTATAGGACATTTGGGCGTCGGTACCAAAAGACTCCGAAATAAAACCCATTAGAAGAAAAGAGGTATACTATTTACAAACGGTAGACCTTATTCTCAAAGAAAAGTCTCTGGTCCTTTACGATGCGGCTCTTATTTTTTTAGGATTCTTCAAAAATAATTTCCAAACCGAACGAAGATGATAGCAGAGCAAATACAAGATATTTACCAGTTTCACGCGAATATCGTGACAGACATAAAATAAAGGTAGACATCGTTCTAACGATTACTGTTACGTTACAAATTCTTCTTAATAAATGTTTATACGCGAGTTACAATTTATAGGATGTTACACCATCGGAACGTTTTGAACGCGATGAGAAACCATCGGTCGTCGTGCACGAGGTACGAGGCGAACGAAATCAGTTTCGTTAGCTCTTTTACCGTACTCTCTTGTTCGTTCACCCGCATTGCTTTTTATACAATTTTTTTTTTCGTTTATAGAAACCACCCATATCGAAATTATATTCGCGTTCGCACGAACCAGACGACGAGATCGAGGTAGTTTATTATTCATCTTATCGATTTTGGACGTAGCTTTAAAAAAGCATTAAAGAGTAAAATATTTTTAGGACATCTGGGCGGATAAACCTCAGGACCGCGAAATTAAACTCATTAGGAGAATCGAGGTATATATACGTTTACGTAATGTGTCCATCTAGATCAGATGCACTATGTGTTACATGGAAAATGTTTCTTATTACGTTTACGCGCGATACATTTTTAGGACGAGCCAAAATCGGCAACTAAACTACGCGTTGAAGATTCGAACTATGAAATCGAGGTAGTTTTATTAGTTAGTTATTTTGCACAATTTTATTCGCGAAACTTTCGCTAACGAATATAATCGGATAAACAATATTTTAGGATATCTGGGCAGACATCCCGCAAGAACGCGAAATAAAACCTATATGGAAAGAGGTATTTACGTGATTCGGTTGAAAATCGAGCAATAGGTCGTGTATCTTGACGGTTTAATGATTGACACAAAAATGATTGATTATTTTAGGCACCTCAAAAGACTATCACACGTTTATCACAAACGCAACCAGCGTTACTCGAGGTACACACGATAATTTTACACTGTACGGAATTTTTTTCTATATTATTAATCGAACATATTTTAGGACGTCTGGAAACCGAACGATAAATCTAAAGCAAAGTCGAAATCACGCTTGTCTATATCGGCTGACAAAGTGGAGGTAGAACTGAGATATTCTTACGTTGGTTAAAATTATATTTCGATTACGCTTAAAAATTTACTACTCTTTTAGGAGGAAGTTACACCGAAATTAAAAACGATTCGCAAAAAAACTGAGTCGGAAAAGGTACATATTGCACATGTGCACACACTACATAAATATACAACACATGATATAACACTTTGTTTAACAACTACAAAAAACAATTACTTTGGTCGTTTTAGAAAGGGACAGCGGAACCTAAATCGGCTACTCGCAAACTTGACGATGCGAGCAAGGTATCATATTCTTATACTTGTATTCTCTGGGATATGCACGTGTCTCTGGATATTCGAAACTTATCGTTTAATTTTTGTTTTTTCTTTTCAATTTATAATTTTTAGAAGAAAGAATCAGAGACGAAACATAGATTTTCGACAGAATCCACCAAACGGTCTCAGGTAGAGGGAATAGAAAGCACACTTTATGACGTAACGCGAATCTGTTACATTACTCTCGTTTGTTTATTTTATATTTTTTACATGTTATACTTATTATTCATTCGTACGAATATTATTCAGGATGAAGAGCCTGCGCTAGATTCGAAAGAAAAGGAAACTATACCCGATGAAACAAAGGTACACGAAAAACACCAATTACACGACAAACATACAAAACACCCACTCTTGATTAAACCGCTCACGCTTTAAAGAGCATTAAGCAATTAACAGAACTGCTTTGACGCCAGTTAATTCGCTGAACAGCTGCTCTAACATAAATGTGGAACTTTTAGCGAACAGAATTTATCGTTTTGATACGTTTTTAGAAGGAACAAGTCATCGCTAAAACCAAGACCGTCGGAAAGGAAGAAAAGAAGGTACAGCAGCAATTTCGTGCATACATATATATATTTCTACAAACATGTACACGACACGTTATAAATTGCACAAACATATTTCACATTACGCTTCATTAATTTTAGGACGAACTCAAACCCAAATCCACTCCGAAAGTAGAGGAACCTAAGGTAGATAACGCATACGCGATATCATATTTTTAGCTATTTAAACGTAGAATCAGAAATATTTGATACGGTGCAATTGATTTGTAGAAGGTAGAACCCACCAAACCACAGGCCACTCTTGATAAACCCGAGGAGCCTAAGGTACACGAAACAACACACAACACTTTTACGATACATAACGCGTTGTTTACTCGAAAAGTTCACTTTCGAACAATCACGAAATTTATTCACTTTTAGAAAGAGGAACCTGCCACGAAACCGAAAACCACACTTGGCAAACCGGAGCCAGCAAAGGTATACATACATATAGGAACACGTTCTCTTTCGTTTCATCTCTTTTCCCAAATCACGATACACATTTTCTTGCGCGTTACGAACACGAATCGTTTTTTCAGAAAGAAGAACCCGTCACAAAACCCAAAAGTACACTTGGTACACCCGAGGAAGCAAAGGTACTACTAAGAACACGTCGCATATTTTTTTTTTCTTTCACACCTATATATTCGATACATTTTCTTCCAAGTTAAAAACACGAACATGTATAGTTGCACGATTATTCTTTTAGAAAGAGGAACCCGTTACAAAACCTAAAGCTACACTTGGTAAACCCGAGGAAGCAAAGGTACTTAGGAACACGTTATTTTTCCTTTCATTTTTTATACACATTTTCGTACGCGTAACGAACATTAAACACGATTAGTTACACGATTGTCCTTTTAGAAGGATGAACCCGTCACGAAACCAAAGACTACACTTGGCAAACCTGAGCCACCAAAGGTACACGAAAGCAATCCTCATTTTCTACGTAACACCTATTTACACGAACTAAAGAAACACGAAGATCCTAATAAAACCGTTCGGAGACTAAAGCGACTAATTGTACTTTTCTGATTCTTCTTCTAATTCTACATAGAGACAAAGCAATACGAGTAAACCACTAAAAAGATAAAAGGGAAGCTTTTCCAAATAAAAGGCTCGATCATAATAACTTCTATTCGTATCATTCAACCAATTCATCGTACATCGAAGAACACTGACGGATAACCTTAACATTTTCTTTTCAGCAAGTACTAAACCCGAGTCATCGCAACCAGAAATATAATATCTTTTTTTTCACAGCATACGCTAAATTTCAATCGTCGTAACAACAATCGTAACAATTCATTTATTTATAGCTTACCTAGAATCGCTGCGAGTCTCGATTCTTAAACGATATTTTTGACGCTGTCATCTTTTGTTCACAGACAGAGGAGCAAGCCAGGAAAGTCAGCCTCAAACCTGGAACGAAGGTAATTAGAACACGATACGTGCAGATCGCGTCTGTTTAAAAAATACCCGTTCTATGTATCGTGCATCGATATGTACAATACTATTCTTTTAAATTACAGATAGAGGAAGAGGCCAAAACGTTGAATAAAGTAGAGCTCAAGGTGAGTATCGTTGGCTCGCTTAATCGAACCGCCTAATCCGTATAGTTATTCGCGAAATAATTTTCTCGTACTCGTATGTCGGCGTATCCGCGACGCGATATTGAACACTGTCATTTGAAATAAGCAAAGAAAATGTATTGAATATAGCCATCGACGAACAAGACCGGCGAGGAGAAATCAGGACTACGTAAACCACCAAAATACGAAATTAAAGCCGAGAGTTTTCAATCTATCCAACTTAAACCGGTTTCCAAGGGGCCTAAAAAGCCTCAACAGGCTGAAAATGGCAATGTGGTCGAGTTGAAGGTATTCCCGTCAAAGGGAATCTAAACATTTATCCTTTCTCTCTACTTCTTTCTCTTCCACTTTCTTCTTTGTTACTCTGCACATTTACGAAGAATCTGTCGAAAATCTCTCTACTGGCACACCTTATCTATCTTCGAATCCGTCGCGTTATTCTATCTTCTCGATGATTATCGAGAACAGCGTTACTCATTTAATTTTCTGCAACATGTTCTTTCTTTACAATTTTCTACTACTTACCTACGTATTTTCGTATAAACAATCTTTTCTTCGGTACTAGTAAATTTCAATTAAAATTCATTTCTTCTTCGTTTCTAAAATCTTCTTCCCTTTCTTCTTTAAAACTTTGCGACTTTTCGCCATTCGCCTGTTTCTTTATAATAATGTTACCTTCTCGTACTCACAGAATTAAACAAAAATTCATTCGTTGATCTTTTCGAATATCTCTTTTCTCCTCTCTCTCACTCTCTCTTTCACTCTCTCTACTATCTTTCTATCTTTCATTACTTGTCCTCTTTCTATTGTATAAATACTCTCTCTTCTAGCACTTACAGAATTAAATATAATTTCACTATTTTTTCTCCTTCACGTATGGAATAATTTATCGTTTATTCTTCAGCGGCTAAGACACCGATTCGCCGACTGTGTAACAAGACTGATTGTAAATAAACAAATACGAACATTTGGTGGACATTACCAAATGCAGCGGCTCTATCGCGTCTCTCCTAAAATTGACGACTTATTAACAGCATAACCATTTTCTACGATACTTATCACGAAGCTGCAACGAACATATTTTTCGAACAAACTTCTTTGCTCGGATCGATGTTTCTTCGTTTCTATCACTGTCTCGCGAATCGCTTAATTCTTTAACGAGCACGATCACGTTCGGTTCACGTTAGAACCGCGAATTAATTGTAACGAATTCGATAACGTACAGAAAACCGAGAAGACCGAGAAGGTCGAGGCGAAGAAAACGAAAGCTACCAAGTCCGCGAAGGAGAAGAGTTACGAGCTTCCGGAGATTCCAGATTACGAGAGGCCGGTGCTGGAAAAGCCTCAAGAGTTCGATTTCGGCGAACACGTGCCTCGCGACAAAACCAAGCTCGAAAGACCGGCTACACAGGTAATGTAACACCTTTGTTCGCTTTTCGGCGAAATACTCGTTTGATTAAACGAGACAATATTAGAGAAAAACGAATGTAACTTATATAAGTTATACAGAGATATTAACGAATTTTCTTTTTCACGGCCTGGCCAAGCAGAAATTCGATTCGAAGGTGAGTAATTGTTCGTTATTAATACGATAATCGGTCGAAAAACGATTTTGCCAGGTTCGCTTTACTCGAGAACCCCGCTGCCAACTACGATTTTGATCGAGACTCGTCGACGAAATCCTAGAAACAGCGACAGAAATTAGAATCGAAAAAAGATTTTTCGGACGAACATGAATCAAAATTCTCGATCTAGGATGGGGAGAGGCTCAGGGTCGGGCCGAAGACGGTGACACGAAATCCTCGCTGGTAGGGTTGCCAACCAATCTCGGTGATATTTTCCCTTCTCGTCGAACGGGACGATCGCCGACACAAATATCACGACCTCCCGTAGCAGTGATTCGGTCCGCTCGAGCGTAATTAACGCAACGCGAGCATACCCGATAGCTAATAATCGGACGGGTAAAATCACGGTTTGGCAACCGTGACGAATACCCTCCTGTCTTCTCGCGCCTCGCGTCGCATCCGGATACATGGATCGCGATAGGGGGAGGAGGGGAAAAACTATTTTGGCAAATAACCGCACATAGATTACCCCCCTCGGGTCCCCTTCGGGTCCCCCGATTTTTCGACGTGGAAACGAGGATGGAGAAAATGTCGATCGCTATTTTCGGTGTTATTGCGTTCGGCTCGTACCCGTGCCCATCTATCTCCTCCCTTTGATTTCTCGCGAGCGATTCGAGAGATCAGTCTCGATTCAGATTTCAGTCTCGATCACCTCGCGATCTCTATCGCGTTCTTTGCGTATCGTCGGAGAACCTTCGACGATTTATATCTCTGGTAAATTCGATCGTTTCGCTTTCTTCTTTCTTTCTTTCTTCTTCCTTTCTTTTTTCTTTATTTTTCTTTCGTTTATCAAATTCTATCCTTTCTATCGTCGCTATCGCGTAGCTCTCTTCCGTCCGGCCTCGAACGAGTTCGAAACTGATCGTTGACTTTCTCGTGTACGTAGCCGAAGGTACCGGAGATCAAAGCACCCGAAACACCGAAGATCGAAGTTATAAAAGACGTTACACCGACCGGAAGCAGAAAGAGCTCCCTGATACCCGGCAGTGGCACTACCAGTCGACGCGGTTCCTTGATTCCTCCGGAAGAATTGGGTCGCAGACCCAGTCTTATCATCAGTGACGAGGTATGTTACGAACCGTGTTCCCTCGAGCCGAAGGTATATCGACTACTTTTTCTGGACAATACAACGGAACGATGCAACCTTGTCCCTCGGCGTATCGCGCGCAACTCGATAGAGGCGCTATCCAATTTGTCGAGATACAACGGAAGAGAAGTTATTCTTCGCTTCGATCGCAAAAAGTCGAGCGATAACGTTGCACCGGTTTCGTACCGAAAGGCGAAGCGATTTGCTCCGAGACGAAAAAAGTGATTAGCCAAACTCGATTTTATCGAAGAACCCGTTCGATCGAGATATCTCTGTCAAATTGCCAAACATTGTTCTTAATAGCTCGAAACGTCTAATGTCTGGCCAAAAATAATCACGATCCAGCCTATTTTCGTAGGATTACTCATTACGAAGTTTCGGTGAACGGGCGCGGGAGGTTGAAATCGACGATAAATCATAAACGACGACGGACAAGCTCCTCGAAGACTCGAAGATTACGCGTACGTGGCACACCGGGGTTGGCCGAGTTGGCTACGGCGTGCAACGCCGTTTAAACGGAGCAAATCGGTGAACGTTTCGATCGAGATGCCCGCTCCGGTTACGCGCGATCTCAATTTTCCACTATCAAGGACGGATATTTATTACTGTCACGAGCGCGTATAATGTACATGTATATCATCGTCGAACACGCTTTACCAATTCGCGGTGATAAAATTGAGATCGAGCATAACCGCGGCATCGGGAATATCTAGCCCTCGAACGGATAGAAGAGTAGATCGCGCGAAACGATAGACGAGAAACGTAGGTAGATCAACGGCCACTGCTGATTAGTCCTAGAATTGTTGCAGTTTTTTTTCCTTTTATTCATTACTTTCTGTTTCTTTTCGTTTTTTTTTCTTTCTCTTTTTTATTTGGAGTTTCGTAGCAACGTCAGTGATTTAGTGATCCCATTGGTGATAGTCCGTTTAGAAGTAGACGACCACGCGACGTGAACCCCCGACTCGTTACGCGAACACAGCGCAACACCGTCGGTCGGGTGTGCACGTCGACGTTAGCGTCGGCATAGCGTGATAGCTAGTTCAGCATCCCACTCGTGAATCGTCCAAGCAGCCCAGCTTCTGGAAAACCATCAATCCCTCGCCAACCCTGTTCGATTCGCCTCTCGTCTCGAGAGTTTTTTCCGTTCATCGAAAGACCAGATTCGCTCGAGCCTTTCGGAAAGAAAGGCAAGAGGAGTTTTCGCGGTGAAAAAAAACCGATGCTCGTTGCGCGAGCAAAGCGGTGCGACGTTCACGTCCGCGTACGAGCAACCGTCCGAATTTCTACGGATTAGTAAAGGACAGTTTGGTTCATAGGAGAATAGGAAGCTGCGACCAGGCGAGGTGGTGGACGAGCGCAAGGTGAGAAAAATCACTGAAGAAACTGAATGCCTCGTCTGCAACCTTACAAACACTACCAATTGCACTCGTTTCGCGTTTATTATTCTCACTTGTTCCGTTACTCACACAAGTTACTTCTACCGCGCGCACTTATCCGATGGAACGTTGAACGAAGAGCCGCTTTTTTCGAAACTTTGAGTATTACGAATTTTAAAATACTCTCGTTACAAAGAACGACTCGTGCAATTGCACGACGTTCGCGTCTCTTCGTTCAATCTTGCCTGCACATCGCAATCACGATTTTCCTCTTTTTTTTTTTCTCCTTTTTCTTTTATTCTCATCGTCGGATTTATCTACCGGATTCTTACTTCGTACGAACTCGCGTCCAAAAATTGACTGAAAAAGCTGTTTCTTCCCAAGAATTTTCCTTTCGATTTCTGGTCGGATATCGAACGGATATCACGTCGAGTTGGACGCGAGATCATCGGTACGAGCAAAGTTTCCTTCGACGCCGTTCGGCTCGAATCGAAATTTCGAAGTTTCGAGGTCCGAGGCTTCGAGAGAATCTCGGCTCGTCCGTTTTTTCGTTTCATTTACGCGAACAACATGCACCCACTGCACCGTTGCACCACTGCACCACTGCACCACTGCACCTGGCACGGATCTGTTGCAACCGAGTCTACGCACACTGCATTCATTACGATTATTATTCACTACGACCACTACTTATCATTAATATCGTTAATTTTCGTAACTCCAATGATGGTGATGATGACGTAACGTAACAATAATAATTATTATAACAACGACGACTTCGGTGATAACGAAGGTGGTACCGGGAAAAGGAATCGATACGCGTCCGAATCGAAACGAGCGTGTCACGCGAAGTGTCCTAGTTTCTGTCGATGTACGTTTCCTCTTTTGTCTAGTCATGATCGTAAAACGTATCGCTACGCGGGATGTCGCTTACAAATGTACGTACGAGAAAAGTGAAATCGTTTGCGTGTAAAGTTTCGAGTTCCCTTTGGCATGGTGCGCGACTCGTATATTACGTTTTGGCAAGCATTGTCCCGAAAAGACAGCCGTCGACGTTAACGAATGCCTAGACAAGCGGCAAACATTTACGGCACGTGAATCGTGGCTACTCGCGAAAATGCGACACGCCCGTGCACGTACGCGCTCGTACGTCTTATCTGCATACATATGTACGTAGGTACGCGTGTATATCGTTTAACTCGTAGCAAGAATGCGTTTCGCGCGGTCCAAACACTTGTTATCCTCTGCCAACGATCGGGTAAAACTATCAATTTGCCGGACGCGAAGGACGCGTCTGACTTATGATAATGTACGTTTAATACTTCACCGACGATTAATCGACTCTGATCGTGATTCAATGGACACCTCGTCGTTTTCGTTATTTGTGCACGCTACGATTCGTTCGGAACGGTTCGAATTTTCACGAATCGTCCACGGTTTCGAATCTTCTCGTCCTCTTTTCGCTCTTGCTTGTTCTTCTTCGTCTTCGGGAAACGTAACGACACGTACGGAGCCAGAGGAAATCAGGATCGAGAAGTTTCGTAACGGCGTACACCCGGAATATACGGAATATGCGAGAAATTCGATCGATGTCGCGTTCTCCCTGAACAAACGGATGGAAGACGAAACGAATTTTATTCGTTTGCGAAATTAATACTCTAACGTGCATCGTAAACCATTATACAACACTGCGTTTGTCGTATCGTCGGTACAGCGTCCTCGGAACAGTCTTACCACCCTTGTGATCGTCTTTTCCCACTTTGTTCCTCTACTTTCCCTTCCCATCATCTATTCGCTCGTTTTCTTTCGTCTTTTTTTCAACTTTTTTCGATCGCGGCAAAAGAAAATTCATCGTCGAATTTGCGATTGCTCGGAGATCGCTTTTCTCGAGGGATAACCACGCGTAACGAAACGACGTCACACGGAAAATTCTTACCCCGATGTCTGCGATTGTTCACAGTTGGGAAGGTTACGTCCCGGCGAGGTGTTGGACCCTAAGGTGAGATTTGTGTTCGCTATAACACAAAGCTTACCTGCCCGAGTACCATCACCTGCGAAATGTTTCTCTATATGTTACTTAATTTCTCAACCGCTCTCTATTTTCCCCCACTACATTTTACATACTTTTTTCTAAACTGGTTTTTTTCGTTTTTTGCCAACGGCCTCTTCCCTTTGTCCCCCTACTCACGAAGGTATACAGCTGCGTATACGAAAACTCGATTTAACGCCTTGTCTACCGTACTGTGCACGAATCTTCTTAGGGTCGACGTATCGACTCTTTAACTATCGACTACTTGGAAACGATAAAAGTTAGTCGAACGTAACGAAGCGTTCGGTAGACAAGACGTTAAACGCTCAACGACTAAAACTAGCAGAACGAAACGAACTTTACCCAAAAACGCAGGAAGCGCAGAATCTGACGCCTGATCATCACGGACCGCCGATAATGCTCGTTTCATCGCGACATTGTCCAAACATAATTCATTTTTTTTAGCAAAATTTTTTGAAGCTGTCGCCACTGCTGTTGATTCCCTCGCCTATCACTGCGAGCCAATTCTGCGCGTGCGAGAGAGTACAATGACAATCGAACTCGACCCACTCCACCCTCGATAAAATTTGCACTTTTCTTTTTTTACGATGTTTCTCCGCCTTTTTTTTTATTCTCGTCTCTTTTTTTCCATTTTCACGCACAGAGTAAGTCCGGTCGTCCTGGCGAACTGCAAGGGAAAGAGGTTAGAGGAAATTATTATTTGTCGTTCGTGTATGTTATGAGCGCGCGTTATCTCAACGTTCTATTTGGTTTTTTCATTATTTTTTTTTTTAATGCGTGTCGCAAAAAGCTCCGAAATGTTCGCAATGCGTCTGTACATAGTTTGCAAGAAGCGTTCTCGTCGAGTCTAGCGGTGTTTTTCGATTAGCGATCGCGTATTCGTCTAGTCTCGTCTATGGACGTACACTTTTCGTCGATTAATCGAGACACGAGTAATATACGAGGCAATCGAAAGAACCCGCGCGGCTAACGCATAACAGATTTGCTTGATTCGAGCGGATACTCGTATGTGCGTATCGAGAAAGTAGAAATTAGATATGGTGGTAAGAGATTTTATTTATCGTACGATTAAAACCGTAGTCGAATTGCTTGTAATCGTAGAAGATTTAGATCTGTCTTTTTTTTCTATTGTGAATATGTTTCTGTACGTTCCAGTAGTATAATACAAAGATGCGCGGTATCAGGCGGGCCGCGGTAGCGCGATACCGTTTACGTCGCGCATCTTTCAATCGTTTTCGAATAAATATCGATGCGCTACCGTGGCACGTTCGAGGCCCGATATATGTGTAAATTATATGTGTGTTTCTTTTTTTTTCTAGAAAACTCGTATACGTATAATAACGATTATTGTTCGTCATACAGGGTGTCGCGCATAAAATGTCGTAAAGACGGCAAACGCGAACGAAAAAGTTGAAACGAAATTCCGCGTATTAACGCAACTTTTTTTTAATCGTTTTCGTGCCCCTTGCCATTAGAACAAGTTTCACGAATAATACGACACACCCTGTATACGTTTGCAAAGTGATTAATCGACGGAATAACCACGAGTACAACGTTTATTCGTTTTCGTTACGATCAATTTTCCTATACGTTTTATTTTTCTCTTCGGATCGCCGTGTTCTTTTTTGTAAATAATCTCCACGTAAACGAACGCGATACTTAACGAATGCGTTAGCCAAAGTTGTGTCGGTAATAATTTCGATTCGTCCATATACACCTTTCTCCCTTTCCTTTCTTCTCCAGAATTAGTCTAGAAATTGTCGATTATGTCTTTGTCTCTCTCTCTCTCTCTCTATCTATGTTTCCACTTTACTTTTAAATACTACCTTCGTCTATTAACAGAACCTTTTAAATCACAATTGTTGTATCTAACCGCGACAACGTGACGATAATCGTCACGGAAATTCTACTCACGTATCGAACCGATATCCATCGGTCGGATGAGCGACGCAAATAAAAGATTCGCGACAAACCGAAGCGCGAAAGCTTTTCTTACTTAACGAACGCTCACGATCTCGATGGTATCGCTTATTTTTTATTTGCTCGCGCGCCAAGTTTATCACGTTAATCCAATTATGTTAAACGCATCGATCAGTGATCGGAAAATTTCCTCGCATCGTTCGTTGTGGATCGAAAGATCTTTATCCGAGAGTTTATTTTCGAGAAAAAAAGAAGAATAGCAATGACGCGAGTATCATCGATCGATGCGAAGCGCAATCGATTGTAATAGCAAACATCCAAGCCTCGAGAGTTTTCGCGTGTACTTACTTCCGTTCTTTCTCAGCGAAGTTGTTCCCTCGTGCCACGACACGAATCGTGTTAATACTCACATCTCTCAGCGTTAGGTTTAATCTTGTGACTGATCAACCGATGAAAGTTCTCACGCAAAAGTCGAATTCTGTCGAATTCGACGTCGACGATGTAAACGGTCCTTTCCACGTAACTCGATCACCTCTGTGTATATGTACCCGATCTATCCATCTCCTGTGCCTGCGCGTCGCGTCGATTTTACCAGCCTGACTTCGTTCTCGATCTTTGGCATCGTCCTTCTCTGCTGTTCGCAAAGGTAAACGTAGACGACGAATCGCGTATTCAGGTTGGTCGAAAATCTGCGCACCCAGTTATAATTTCCACTCCGTTACGCGACTCGAGGGTTCCACATAGACTCTGCTGCGGAGAACAAATATTCGGCCGATCGGATACATCGTGGATCAAAAGAAAAGCAAATATCGACGCGAGAGAACCCTCGACGTAGCTAGCGAGTACCCGACACTTGTCCTAATAAGAATCCAAAAGATGGTCAGAAGCATTCTTCTGACCCGTTTGTACCCTCCCGCTAATGGAGGCCTGCCAAGAGACACTTGGTACCAGCTGGCCTCGTTTCTAATCGCTTCGATTTGTTTAACATCGTGACTAACGGTTAGACATTTAACGCTTTTCTTCTAACGACGTGGATTAACCGTGTGACTAACGCGGCAATTATTTGATCGCACCGGCACGCTGCACGAAAAAACTACGTTCGAAACGACGGGTCTTGATTTTCGTCTTCGCGTTTCCGTTTCGCATTTTCTACTCGAACGCGAAACCAAAGAAAAACCTGTAAGTAAATGCCGGTAAGTCGACGGAAAATCATGGCCTCCGATCGTTTCCGCTTCCTTTCGAACGCTTTATTGGACGCTTAACCAGATAGTAAAATGATAAAAAAATATGCTGAAAAGTTGTAACGGAACGGTTGACGATAACGACTATCGATTGATACAGCGTCGTCGTCCGAGCACGGACGTTAGAAGACCCAGCGTGGCGGACCTCGAGAATAAGATCAACCAGCCGAGCACACCCCTTCGAGATGTCGGACCAGCGGGACCACCTCAGATCGTCGATGTCCAGGAATCTTATTCCGCCGTCGAAGGTACCGTATCGATCGGCTTCTTAGCGTAATTTTCTCGATCTCGTCTGGTCTCGCGTAAAACGAACATTTCACGTAGACTCGACGGCGTATCTTACGGTGGGAGTGGAAGGTACACCGGCACCGACTTTCAAGTTTTACAAGGGAATCACCGAGATCATCGAAGGTGGCCGATTCAAGTTCCTTACGGACACGGAGACCAATACGATCACCCTCTGCATGAGGAAGACGAAGCCCAACGACGAGGGTACTTACAAGATCGTCGTGAGCAACATCCATGGCGAAGATTCTGCCGAGATGCAGCTCTACGTTTCCGGTACTTACTCCTTCTACTCGTTACCTATTCCCTATTTTCGTGTTTGCAAATCGATCGATAAATCGATGTTTCCCGATACGTCGTTTCAGACGCCAGTGGTATGGACTTCCGTGCTATGCTGAGAAAGAGGAAGTACCAGAAATGGGCGAGAGAGGAGCAAGAACAAGAAAAGGTGGATCTGAAGGAGGTGGAGAAACCGATGCCGGCATTGAAGAAAGTGGAAAAGGTGCGTACTCGAATTCGATCCGCGCGATCCAATCGTTTTTACCAAATTAGTTTCGCGTAAAATCTTCAACTTTCTTCTTTCGTCTCTATACTATTTCGAAAGAGCCTGTCCGCAGATTATACGCGCACGTACCGGTACATTTTCGAGCATGTCGATTCGTTGGAAATTTTCTTGCAGTTTAATCGTGTTCTCGGACACTTGCGATAATCGCATAACAGCTCGATATGCTATGGCGCGTATCATCATTTATTTGGCGTAAAAGAATGTTGCTTGTCGTTTAATCACGAACCGATTCGCGTAACCGATCTTAACGAACGAAAATCTTACGCGAAACAATTCGAAACGAAGTAATCGATAAGTTTTTTAATAAGTGGAGATGTACCGTCGAGGCGTTCGTTCGAAACGCGAATGAACCCAGACGGCGATTTACCAGAAGAGATTCGTCGTTCGAGTGTCGATTTTTGCTATAGAGCACGTTTTCTCCTGGTTTTTTCTCTTCTGTACGTTTGTCTTCGTAGTCGCTGCGCGACAGCGAGATGCACGGAAGAAGCTGGTATCAAGACGGGGAGGAAATAGTGATCTTGACAGAGGGTGAGGAGGTCCTTCGAATTTCTCTAGACAAGAAGGGTGAAACTAACTGGAGCTGGCTCAAGGTTTTCAGCTATCATCCCCCCGTAGATAATTCCTGCTCAGACTTTGACGACACTTGTCTCGGACGTACTAACCTCCCCTTTCTGTTCTCTGCAATTTCGGCCAATTTTCGATTCGATTCGATCGTGGCGGATCCTTTCTCTTTTCGTCGTCGCTCACCGCTCCACTTTCCTCGTACAGTGTCCAAATACGAACCGCCACAGGACAATCGTAGGAAGCGCGAACGGAAATAGAACAGCGGTTGTTTCGTCGAAGAGCGAAAAGGCAAAATTGCAGAAAACGGATACTCTGATTAATCCACATTACACGCATCGCGATATCGATGTATCGTTCGGGGACAAAGGATATACGGCAGACCGTACCGTTCGCGCGAACACTTCGAAATTCGTTGACGAGACAAATTTACGCAAGAGCACACGTAAAGTATAACGTTGACCGTAGTACACACACTTTAGTTTAGAGCTAATGCTGCGCTTAATATCGTACATGGATGCACTCGATCGTATCGTTCGCGTTCGCATTCACATTCACGTTCACGCACTATAGTTCACGATCATTAACCGAATGTTCTTCATTAACCAAATATTAACGAACATTTTTCATTGAACGCGTTTCTCGTCGTTACGATAAGAGAATGTAAAAACAAAAAAGAAAAGTTGTACAAGTTTAACAGTGCATGAGTAGAAATCAATGTTGTCGAATAAAAGAGTAACGTTCGATTTGTAAAATTAACGCGTGACACGCATTAAGAGCTCGGCTATGAGTCAACAACGATTGTATGTAACCCGCACTGATTGCCAGCAGCAAGCATTATCTCTAAATGTTCAATGTTGTAACACGGATGACCCTGACGCGAATTCGATCGCGTTTTCGTGTAATATTAGCTCGACAAGAGATCGGAAATTTTCAAATTTCGTCGATATCGTTCGCGATGAAAGAAACTCGCGTAAAAAAAAAATGAATCGAAGGGTAAAGGGTGAAAAGATGTCGCGACGGGGTCATCCAAATCTCCAGACGAGCTATCGTATAAGAGTGGCATTAACGTGGACGTGTGTGTGTGCCGGGCATGCAGGACGTCTTCGACATTCAGCGCAGGCCAAGTTTGCAGGAGCTAATCGCCGACTGGCCGATACTAGCAACAAGGGTCAAAGAGAAGGTTCGCGATATCTCTTAAGCAACTTTTCCTTCATTCCACGCGCTCGATTTCGCTTGAATCCCTCGGGATCGCGGTGCTTATTCCGCGGAAAAGCCGAACTTTCCTACTTTCAACGCGTTCTTCGATTTTATACGACACTCGATAAAGTGCGTTCGGCGTCGCGCTCCGCGTCCCCGAAGGATTGAAAGCTTCGAACGAGAGAGTACAACGCCTACATTTCCGCCCTGCAAGGCTTTAACGTATACAAACACCGTACAATCGATAAAATCGTTCGCGTCGATTCGACGAGACGATGTCTTCAACTCGATCCACCCGATCGATCGACGATTACAACAAACGACAAAAAATTATCACCTTCGCGACGCAGACGATCGCGAGAATTTCTTTCACGATTTTTAGCTTTGCTTCCGGTTGCTGTGTCAACGATGAAACTCTCGCGATCTTTCGAAAAGAACTCAAACCTGCTTTGGCCTGCGCTTACGATTTTTCTTCTTCCCTTCTCTCACTCTCTCTCTCTCTCTCTCTCTCTCTCTCTGACTCTCTCTTTTTCTTTCTCGCCCCCACTTTTTTTGTTTTTCGAGATACTCGGCTTCCTTAAAAACTCTTCGTATAAAATAGCGACCAATTAGCACCTTACCGACCGATAGCCTATTCGCGTTCGTCGAGTGAACGAACAACGCTTTTCGTACGTTCCTCGGTCGCGACGATCATCCTACCAGATTTGTAAGACGATAGCGCTTACAGGTATGATCCTTGAACGATAGGTAAGGTGTTAATACGACTAATACTCAGCTTGACGTATACGAAAAATCGCGTTACGAAAAATTCGTTCGTGTTCGTTAAAACGTACATGATATTCTCGTACACGTAACAATATTTGTGTTCCCTGTGCTTTAATTTGCTTGCCATCAGCCTCGTACACAACGAAGAAACTATATGTAGCCTAGTGAAAATCAGATCTGTGACCGTAGACGAATTTTGTTGTTTTATAGAATAGTGGATCTCGTAGACCCTCTCTCGCCGAATTAATTCCCGACTGGCCGACCCTGCACCATTTCACGAAGACGGAGGTTGGATCGTATTCTTCGACGCCTTAAGATACGATTTTATCATCGTTCTATCATCAATGACCCGTGATAATCGGCGTCTTCATCTATATTTCTCTTTTTTACACCTCTGTCTCTTTTTCTCGCTGTTTTTCACGGGAATGCGAGCATCATATTTCTCTATTCTCTATTTCGCTCTCTGTATGCACCGTTTCTTCGCTAAATTACTCGTTTCGTAAAACTTTTTTTCCTCTGCCCTTTCGTCTCTGTTATTCTCGCTTCTAATCTCTCATACTACTCTGACTTCCTTTCTCGAGTCTGTACCCGTTATACGGTCTATTTTCAAAGCTTCATATTTTCTCTCTCGCACTTTCTTCGTATCGACCTTACAGCGAATTTTTTTACGATGAAATTTTTCTTTTTTCTTAGATACGTACACGTATTACGGTGTGTTTTTTAATGGGATTTCACAGGCGTTCCAGTGCCTCGTCTCCAAGCCTCGAACGTCTTCGTCGACGGAGTTTTTTATATTTTTCTTGTTTTCTATTTTTTTTTGCAGAATTTTGTGCAACACTTTTTACCCTCGCAAGACGAGACACGCCGTCTATCGATTATTGTACAATATTTTAGCGGAGTCGATTTTTCATACGCCTTCGACAAGTCTTTTTGAATCTTCTTCTTCCTTGTATGCCTAGCAACGTTGCCATTGTGGACGGTGTTATTGGATGTGATGGCGAATCGATCGCGAGAAATGCTCGACTAATTAATTGATGCTTCCTGTTTACAGAAACCGGAAAGCTTCCTTAAACCACTGGTGGATCAATATGCCAAGGAAGGCAAAGACAAGAAGGTCGTTTTCGAAGCGAACTTCTCGAAACCGAACTGTAAACCGAAATGGTTCTTCCGGAAAGACGTAAGTTCTACTCGCCGAAACCGTACGTTATCATTTTTCTCGCACCTTACCGCGATTTCTCCGGTACTCCGTTTAGGAACTGTTCCCTTCGTCCAAGTACAAGTTCAAGAACGAGGAGGATTGCTACCAGCTGATCATCCTGAATCCCAAGGTCGAAGATACCGGCAAATACACCATCGAAATTTCTGGGGTTTCGAGCACAGGCTTCCTCAACGTCGAAGGTTAGATATTCTTTCGCGTACGTACGTTATGATTTGTGATAAAAGGCTAACCGAACGTTCCGATTTCACAGAGCCGGATCCAACTTACACGTTTACCAAACCGCTCGCGAAAAAGACGAGCGGCTATACCAAGCACGAAGTTTACATGGAATGTACCGTCAGCTCGAACCTTGCACAGGTTACGTGGTACAAAGGAAAGACTAAACTCGAGGTAATCGCCTACGATCGTTTATCGTAATTATTCGGTCGCGTTCGCTGTCCAGCTGTTTAGACCGTTCGCTCGATTAAACGTTTATTCTGTTCAGGACGGCGATATGTACAGCATATCTAAGGATATGTCTGGCGTCTGCCGGTTGACCATAAAGAGCGCTACCCTCGAAGACAGCGGAGAATACATTTGTAAGATTAACAAACAAACTGACAAGACTGAAACGGTCCTAACCGTTGTTGGTACGTTTTATCCGAAACAATAAGAAGCCTTCCGAGCAAGATTACAGAAATATTCGCGATCCTAAAATACTCTCGTTTACGTTTACAGAATATCCGTACAAGTTCGTCAAGGTGTTGAAGCATCAACAACTCGTAGAGAAGGAAACGTTGACCTTGATCTGCGAGTTGGACGACGCCGCTGGCGAAGTGAAATGGTTCAAAGGTGACCAAGAGATCGTTGCTGACAAGAGGTAATAACGCTCGATAAATTGTCGCTGTATAACTTACGAGACAATATCCTTGAATCCAACGTTATTTTTCTGCAGGGTACAAATCAAGGAAGAAGGCAGAAAGAGAAAACTTATCATCAAAGACACAAAAGTTACCGATGCTGGCCTCTATTCGTGCGTGAGCAACGCCGATAAAACGGAAGCTGAAATTGTTATAAACTGTGAGTCGATTATACCTGTAGACACGCTAAGATATTTCCATTTCGGAACTTTAACCGCTAAGAGAATGCAATTTTTTAGACGCGAACCGTTTCAACAAGAAACTGAAGGATACGGTAGCCGTGGAAAGGGAAAAATTGGTGCTCGATGTGGAACTCCAAGATCAAACAGCTCCAGCCGTGTTCCTGTTCAACGGTAATCCGATCGAACCGAACGAGAGAGTCGAGATCAAGAATTTAGGTGGTGGCAAGCATCAACTGATCTTCAACAGGCTGGAAATGACGGACGACGGTGAAATCACTTGCGAGAGCGGACAATTAAAGAGCAGCTGTAAACTGACGGTTAAAAAGGGCGAAAGCAAACCCATCGTCGAAGTTCCTGACAAGGTCGAAGGTCCTTGCAGCGCGCCGCTCGTCTTCGTTGTGCCTTTCAAGAGTAAGCTTAACTTTTTGCAACTTTTCTCCTTTTCGAAATATTTCGAAAACTTCTTGAAAAACGAACCCGTATCGCAACCCGATGTTGTCCATTCCAGTCGAAGGAACGAAACAGAGCCAGGTAGAAGCTAAGTTGATGAAAGACGGTAAACCGCTACCGTTGAAGGAAGTAGAGGTGGTCGTGGGCGAAGACAAGATCACTTTCAAGATCAAGAAACCATCTCACGATCAATCTGGTATTTACCAAGTGAAGATCGGCAATAACCAGGGTGAAGAGGTGAAGGACGTGAACATCAATATGCAAGGTGAATATTTGATAAAATAGTTTGTCGAACAATAATCTTGTCGAGATTGTCGTTTCCTAAACGTTTTCGCACACTTTGCGTAGATGTACCATCGCCGCCCACCGACGTGGACGTTAACGAGATCTTCCAAAATTCCTGCGTGGTTTCTTTCAAGCCCTCGAAAGACGACGGTGGATCCCCTATCACGAAATACGTGATCGAACGTCTCGATCTCAGTTTGAAGGCGCAATGGGACAGCGTCGGCGAAGTGATGCCAGGCGAAAAGTGCGTCTACAAAGTTCAAGATCTCGTCGCGAAGAAGGAATACAAGTTCCGTATCAGGGCAGTAAACAAACTGGGTTCCAGCGAACCTGCGATGTTCGCGAAACCGGTGCTCGCGAAAGATCCTTGGGGTAGGTGAAACGCTAGTAGTATATCAAAATTCAATATAACAAAAGTACATTATTCTGTCTGTTTTTTTTTTTTTTTTTTTTTTTTATAGACGAACCAGGTAAACCCACGAACGTGGACGTTACCGATTGGGACAAGGATCACGCGGACTTGAAGTGGACGAAACCAGAGAATGATGGCGGAGCGCCTATCACCGGTTACATAATCGAATACAAAGAGAAGTTTGGCAAAGAATGGGTAAAGGGCAAAGAAATCGAAGGAAACGTGACCGAGGGAACCATCGACGGTCTAAAAGAGGGCACCCAATACGAATTCAGGATAAGAGCCGTGAACAAAGCCGGCCCTGGCGAGCCTTCGGACGCTACGAAACCGATAATAGCCAAATGCCGATTCGTCAAACCGTACATCGTTGGCGACGGTCTCACGAATCTGATCGTGAAGAAAGGACAAGTAATCAAATACGACATCAAGTATGCCGGAGAACCAGAACCGGAGGTGCAATGGTTCCTCGGGACAAAAGAACTCGTTCAAGACTCTGCCGAAAGAATCACGATCGACAAATACGAGAGGAACACCGTGCTCACCGTTCGAAAGACGACTCGACCAGATTCGGGCAAATACAAACTGGTTCTGTCGAACAGTTCTGGAACCTGCGAGAGCATCGCGGACGTCGTTGTTCTCGGTACGTCGCTTTTCTCGTTCTCCGTAAAAAATTATTGCCTTCGTTCGAGGCTGCGACTAGTCGAATAAATCTCTTTTCTTTTCTTTTCTTTTCTAGATAAACCTTCGCCACCGAAAGGTCCATTGAAAGTGGAGGAAGTGCGCGCCGATCACGTAAAGGTGAAATGGCAGAAACCCGAAGATAACGGTGGCACCGACATCACCGGTTACGTTCTAGAGAAGATGGACATGGATACCGGACGATGGATCCCCGCCGGAGAAGTGGGACCCAACGAAGATAGTTTCACATTCAGCGGACTAACTCCTAAGAAGAAGTACAAATTCCGCGTAAAAGCCGTGAATAAAGAGGGCGAATCCGAACCGCTCGAAGTGGATGAATCGATCCTTGCTAAAAATCCTTACGGTAAATGATCTTACTTTCGACGAACGACGCGCGAAAACTTGCATTATTTAAACCTCGTTACTTTCTCTCTGTTAGACGAGCCTGGTAAACCTGGTAAACCGGATATCTTCGATTACGACAATGTCAGTGTATCGTTGAAATGGGAGAAACCTCAGAGCGACGGTGGTAGACCGATCACTCATTACACTGTCGAGATGAAGGATAAGTTCGCGGTCGACTGGGTCGAAGTGGCGAAAACTACCGATGCCACTCCCGAAGCAAAAGTCGAAGGTCTCAAAGAAAAGATGGTTTATCAGTTCCGTGTCCGTGCCCACAACAAAGCAGGCCCTGGTGAGCCTAGCGAACCTACGGACAATCATCTATGCAAGCACAGAAATCGTGAGTATCTTGTCCATCGTTTGCTCCGAACACGGTTGTTCGGCGCTTTACTCGATCGTTTCTAACGTTTCAGTGAGACCGAGAATCGACAGAACCACCTTCAAATCCGTAATCATTAAGGCCGGTCGTACGCACAAATGGTCGGTGGACATCACCGGAGAACCACCACCGGAAGTAAAATGGATCTGGAGAGATAACATTCCGTTAACGACTACCGATCGTATCAAGATCGATAATGTCGACTATCACACGGACTTTACGATCGTGAATGCGATGCGCAAAGACACCGGAAAGTACACTCTCGTCGTCGAAAACGTTAACGGCAAAGACGAAGAGACCGTGGAACTTACGGTACTAGGTAAGTTTAACGAATCCTTCGAAATCCGACAGTTACGTTCGCGAAACTTACATTGATCGTTTAACCAGGAAAACCAAGCGCGCCGAAAGGTCCTTTGGAAGTAACCGACGTTACCGCCACTTCGGCCAAAGTCAAGTGGGAGAAACCGGAAGACGACGGTGGTGTACCTATCAAAGAGTACGAGATCGAGAAGTTGGACACGAAAACCGGCAAATGGGTCAGAGTGGGAAAAATTCCAGGAAACTCGCCGCTTACCGAATTCGAGGTAACCGGATTGAACCCTGGTAGCGAGTACAAATTCCGCGTTACCGCTGTCAACGATGAAGGTGATTCGGAACCCCTCGAAAGCGAACGCGGAATCATCGCGAAGAATCCATACGGTAGGTCAACGAGACCGTACAAGTCGTAAATTAAACGTAAGTTACCCCGATCGAGCGAAGTTATCGTTGTTTTACAGACGAACCGCACAAACCTGGAACACCGGAGATCACCGATTACGATAACGAGTCCGTAAGCTTGAAATGGACCGCTCCGGACTTCGATGGCGGAGCACCGATCGAAAAGTACATCATCGAGAAGAAAGATCGCTATAAACCAGACTGGGAGAAAGCTATGGAGGTACCAGGAAATCAACTGGAAGCCAAAGTAGCCGATCTGAAAGAACGCGGAGAATATCAGTTTAGGATTATCGCCGTGAACAAAGCAGGACCTTCTCCGCCATCCGATGCCTCCAAGATGCAAATTTGCAAGCACAAAGCGCGTAAGCATTCGTTTCCGTTATCGACACTTTCCTGTTTCTTCTTTATCTACAATTTGGTCCTTACGATTTTTCAGTGAAACCGAGAATCGATCGTACAAACTTGAAACCTATTACCGTACGGGCCGGAAAAATGATCAAGTACGACGTAGATGTTCGCGGTGAACCACCACCGGAGATCACTTGGTATCATGTCGATAAGGCGGTGACAACCGGTGAAAACATCGAAATCGTCAATGTCGAATACAACACGAAGCTCACTATTACCGACTGTGTGCGCAAAAATACCGGTGTATGGAAGATAAAAGCGGTAAACCCTCATGGCGAGGATGAGGCTGAAGTCGAAGTTATCGTACTTTGTAAGTTAATCGATATTAACTGTTGGACACGATCGTTGTTTACAACGCGATTTATCGTACACGTATGTTAACAGCGGCACCTGGAAAGCCAAAGGGGCCTCTGAAAGTGTCCGATGTCACGAAAAATGGATGTAAGGTGAAATGGGAAAAACCGGAAGACGACGGTGGAAAACCGGTGACCGGTTATCTAGTCGAGAAACTGGACAAAGCGACCGGAAGATGGGTTCCGGTTGGACGTACTTCCGACACCGAAATGGACATTAAAGGTCTCCAGGAAGGCCACGAATACGAGTTCAGGGTGAAAGCTATCAACGACGAAGGCGAATCCGAACCCTTGGTCACCGAAGGCACGACTGTCGCAAAGAATCCTTACGGTACGCATCCTAGATTCGATGCAAAAATATGTTGAATATCCGCTGTATTATTATGAATTATCTCCTCAGACGTGTCCAGCAAGCCTGGTGTACCAGAGTTCGAGGACTGGGACGTGGATCGCGTCGATTTGAAGTGGGAACCGCCGAAAAATACCGGAGGTGTACCAATTACTGGTTACATTATCGAGATGAAAGAGAAACCATCCTCGAATTGGCAAGAAGCTGTCGTGACCGATTCGCCGCAGCCAAAAGGACGCGTTACCGGATTGAAGAAAGGATCTGTTTATCAGTTCCGTGTACGTGCCGTAAATAAAGCTGGATCATCCGAACCCAGCGATCCAACGAAACCACACGTTGCAAAGGCGCGATACCGTAAGTTCGAGTCGAAGAATTTACACGTTAAAACTAATAAATCATTTCGACGAGTTCGACTCCTCGAACCTTACATGTTTCTCTCCGTTTTCCAGTGAAACCACGCATCAACCGTGACAAACTGCAAACGATTAAAGTCAGAGCAGGTCAAATGGTGAAATTGGAAGTGGACATCGAGGGTGAACCACCACCAACCGTTACCTGGAACTTTGCTGGTGCTGTTTTGCAGACTGGTGCCAACGTCAAAATCGACAACGAAGATTACCTGACGAAGATTCATCTGACTCAGACTAGTCGTAAACATAGCGGCAAATACACGATCAAAGCCGTCAACGATTCTGGACAAGACGAAGCCGACGTAGAAATTATCATCCTCGATAAACCTGGAAAACCCGAGGGTCCTCTGGAAGTGACGGACGTTCACAAGGAGGGATGCAAACTGAAGTGGAGCAAACCGAAAGACGACGGTGGTTTACCTTTGTCCAGTTACGTGATCGAAAAAATGGACGTGACCACGGGTCGCTGGGTACCAGCTGGAATCGTGGATCCCGATAAAACGGAGCACACGATTACCGGTTTGGAGCCGGGCAAGAAATACGAATTCCGCGTGAAAGCTGTAAACGAAGAAGGAGAGTCGGAACCGTTGCAAACGGATACTGCCATCGTAGCTAAAAATCCATACGGTAAGACAGTTGTTTCGAACATTTATCCTAACTGTTATAGTAGCTTTGAAAGTGCACGTTGCGTGTCATATTTTCAGACGTTCCAGCCGCGCCTGGTCTTCCGGAGATCATCGATTGGGCCGAGAACATGGTCAAACTTAAATGGGAACCACCGATACGTGACGGTGGTGCTCCCATTACCGGTTACATTATCGAGATGAAAGATAGATTCGGTACCACTTTCGTAAAAGCTGCCGAAATCGATGGTCCGGTTTGTACCGGAACCGTAACCAGATTAGAAGAAGGAAATCAATATCAATTCAGGGTTCGAGCGGTAAACAAAGCCGGCCCGGGTGAGCCATCCGAGGCTACCAATCCTCACACCGCGAAAGCTCGTTGGCGTAAGTGATTTTAACAATTCTTATTCGAATTGTTCGAAAAACTTCTTAGACATAAGAGAGTAACGTTTTCGTTTTCACAGTGAAACCGTTCATCGACCGTACCAATTTGCAACCGATAACCGTCAAAGTTGGCCTCACCGTTACCCTGGACGTGAACATTATCGGAGAACCTCCTCCAAAAGTAACCTGGTACTTCCAAGATAAAGAATTATCATCCGACGATACAATACGAATCGACAACATCGATTACAACACTAAATTCTTCATTTTGAAAACTAAACGTACTCAAACTGGAAAGTACACGATCAAGGCGAAGAACGAAGTAGGGGAGGACTCGGCGGATGTTGAAATAACGGTTATCGGTAAACCGAGCAAACCGAAGGTACGTCATGACACGAGCACTTACAATTTCGACTCTTATTTATCGATCAAACTATTTCTATCGATATTAATTTCGTTGTTCAGGGTCCTCTAGAGGTGTCCGATGTACACAAACACGGTTGCAAGCTGAAATGGGAGAAACCCGAAGACGACGGTGGTGTACCGATCGAATATTACGAAATCGAGAAGTTGGATCCTCTTACCGGCCAATGGATTCCTTGCGCGAAATCCACCGAACCAGAGGTTACGGTGACTGGTCTTCAGGAAGGCAAACCCTACAAATTCCGTGTGAAGGCGGTGAACCGAGAAGGCGAATCGGACGATTTGGAAGCAGACAAATCCATCATTGCCAAAAATCCATATGGTACTTTTATTGATTTCTTGTTACGTTTAATCGAAAGAAACGCAGCAAAATGGTAACGAATACGTCGATTTCAGACGAGCCCGGCAAACCCGGTCGTCCAGAAATCAAAAACTGGGACAAGGACTTTGTCGACCTCGAATGGACGCCGCCTAAAGATGACGGTGGAGCACCGATTGAAAAGTACATCGTGCAAATGAGGGATAAAGAAGGAAGACAATGGATAGACGTCGCCAAGGTGCAGGGAGATCGTACGGTAGCTAAAGTCACCGACGGCATCGAGGAAGGTCACGAATACGAGTTCAGGATAGTAGCTGTTAACAGAGCCGGTCCTGGAGAACCTAGCGACACGTCGAGAAGTGTCGTGGCTAAACCACGATTCTGTAAGTATCGCGTTTCATCGCGTCTCGATCGTTTCTCGCTTCGATGTTCCATACTGACGTATACAAATCTGTTTCTGCTTAAAGTGGCACCACGCATCGATCGCAAAAATCTGCAGAAGAAGGTGATGCGGGTTGGACAATTGTTGCGAATCGAGGCAGACATACAAGGTGAACCACCTCCAGTTGTCACCTGGAAACTCAAAGACGCCGTGTTGAAGAGTATGGATCGTCTGAAGATCGAAAACGAAGATTACCATACCACCTTCATCATGAGCAAATTGCAAAGATCCGATACCGGAACGTATACCGTTATCGCGAAGAACGACAGTGGCACCGATCAAGTCGATGTCGAAATCCAGGTATGATCGTAGCATATTTTCGGTTTGTATCGTCTTATATTTTCCGAACAGTATCGAGTGAACGAACAGCGTAACCGTTATCGTTTCAGGTACTGAGCAAACCCGGTAAACCTAAAGGACCGCTCGAGGTGTCCAACGTGACCGCGGAAGGATGCAAACTGAAGTGGGAGAAACCAGACGACGATGGTGGCGAACCGGTGGATCATTACGTCGTCGAAAGGATGGACGTTGATACCGGTAGATGGGTACCTTGTGCAACGAGTAAAACTCCGGAAGCGGATGTAACTGGCCTAAACGAAGGAAAGGATTATCTGTTTCGCGTTAAGGCCGTTAATTCCGAGGGAGAATCGGAACCTTTGGAAACGCCGATTCCTACTACAGCCAAGAATCCTTACAGTGAGTAAACTTTTTTCTATCTAACCAATGTTTGTGTCATTGTTAACCAATGTTTCCTCTATCTTCGATCGTTGAACGTTACAATGTAACTTTTTTTCCCGTAGCCGAACCCGATGCTCCTGGAAAACCGGATCTCAAGGATTGGTCCAAGCATCATGTCGATTTGAAATGGAAAGCCCCGAAAAGGGACGGTGGAGCGCCGATCGAGAAATATATAATCGAAAAGAAAGATCAGTTCGGTAAATGGCAGAAAGCCGCTGAGGTTCCTGGAAACAAAACGGAAGGTAGAGTCGAAGATCTCGTGGAAGGACAAAAGTATCAGTTCCGCGTGAAAGCAGTGAACAAAGGTGGTCAGAGTAAACCGAGTGAACCAAGCGACAGTCTGATCGCCAAGGATCGTTATGCCGCGCCAAAGATCGATCGTACGAATCTGAAAGACATCACGATCAAAGCCGGTACCCATATTCGATTGGACGTGAAAGTCAGCGGTGAACCACCACCCACGAAGACCTGGTATCTGAACAAGGCGAAGCAAGAATCCGCGGGTGTCTTGACGATCGAATTAGAGGACTATAGAACAAAGTTCATGGTGTCGTCGGCTAGCAGAGCTCATTGCGGCACTTTGACGTTGAAAGCGGAGAACAGTTCCGGAAAAGACGAGGCATCGATCGAGATTTTAGTCTTGGACAAACCTGGCAAACCGGAAGGTCCTCTGAAAGTGTCCGACGTGCACAAAGAGGGATGCACGCTGAAATGGAATCCACCGTTGGACGACGGTGGCGCGCCACTCGATCATTACGTGGTCGAGAAAATGGACACGGAAACGGGACGTTGGATCCCTGTAGGACGCACCAAGGAACCCACCATGGTCGTAGAGAATCTAGTACCTGGTCAAGAGTACAAGTTCCGAGTTGCCGCCGTGAACGCGGAGGGTGAATCGGAACCTTTGGAAACGGATCACGGAATCGTGGCCAAGAATCCGTTCGGTTAGTACCGCTCTAAATCTCTCGATCGACGTTTCTGTTGGCGATGGGATAAACTAACGCTACCACGCTTCTTTTACAGACGAGCCGGGTCCACCTGGTCGGCCAGAGGCAACCGATTGGGACAAGGATCACATAGATCTAAGATGGACTCCACCATTGAACGATGGTGGATCTCCAATCACCGGATACGTGATCGAGAAGCGCGAGAAAGACAGTCCACGCTGGATAAAGGCTTGCGAAACTGGACCCGATTGCAAGGGTCGCGTCGACAATCTCGACGAGGGTGTCGAGTACGAGTTCCGCGTAAAAGCTATTAATGCCGCTGGTCCTGGTGAACCATCCGACGCCAGCAAGCCGATCACAGCCAAGAGTCGACGACGTAAGATTATTATTAGATGACTACTAGATATTTTTCTTTTCAACTCCTTTACCACGAATCGTTGCCTTCTCCTCCACAGTCGCGCCAAAGATCGACAGGAAGAACTTACGCGACATCACCGTACGCGAGAACGAAGGGTTCCACTTTGACGTGAAAATCATCGGCGAACCACCACCGGACGTCACCTGGGTCATTAATAACAAGAGTATTCAGCAGACAACCTTCCGTAGGATTCAAAATGTTCCGTACAACAGCAAATTCTTCAACGACAAACCTGAACGGAAGGACAGTGGCATATACAAGATAACCGCGGTCAACCAGCACGGATCCGACACAGCCGAGGTCGAAGTGACCGTTGTCTGTAAGTATTCGTTCGTTCGATTCGAGGAGTTCCGTTCAAGGGATGGAGGATTAAATCGTGAATAATTCGACAGCTAAACCCGGTAAGCCCGAGGGACCGCTCGAAGTGTCGGATATTCACAAGGAAGGGTGCACGCTCAAGTGGAAGAAACCAAAGGACGATGGCGGTGAGCCTATCGAAGCGTACCTCGTGGAGAAGTTCGATCCGGATACCGGCGTTTGGTTACCGGTCGGTAAGACAACGGCCCCAGAGATGAAGGTAGAGGGACTGACGCCTGGACACGAGTATAAGTTTAGAGTGAAAGCGTTGAACAAGGAAGGGGAGTCGGAACCTTTGGAGACATACAGTTCGATCGTTGCCAAAGATCCGTTCAGTAAGTATTGGAATACCGTGACGACAAGCATGGAATCGCGAATACATCGATTAATTTTTCTTCAGCTGTACCGAGTCCTCCGGGAGCACCAGAACCGGTCGATTGGACCGCCAATCAGGTTGAACTTACTTGGAAAGAACCTGTCAGCGACGGTGGGTCACCGATCACCGGCTATATCATCGAAAGGAAGGATAAATACAGTACAATGTGGGAGAAGGCTCTGGAAATCGAGACACCCAGCACGAAAGCTCTGGTCCATGGTTTGATCGAGGGCAACGATTACCTCTTCCGCGTAATAGCCGTGAACAAAGCTGGTCAATCGGAACCAGGGGATGCCAGCAAAACATTTACGGCTAAACCACGCTTCCGTAAGTCTTATTTATATTTATTATATTTCGTTCGACTTTCGTGGCACCCATCCAATTACAAGTTGTTTCGTATCCTCGAGGCAAAAAGAACGCGTATCCTCGTGGTAATTATACCACGACGCGTAATTTATATGATATCGTTGACACTGTCGGCGCACCAAGGGCTCCATAAATAACCGTTATTGAGATGAAGTTTTGGCACTTATCAACGCGGTATCGATCACGTATAAATTTCCTTCCCTCAGTGGCACCGAAGATCGATCGTCGCAATCTACGAGATGTCACTCTGTCGGCTGGCTCGTTGCTGAGATTCGACGCTAACGTGATCGGTGAACCACCGCCACACATCGAGTGGCGATACGGCGCCATACCTCTGCACTCGGACAGAAAAGTGCAGATCGACAATTCGGATTACAGCACAAAGTTCAGTATTCGTCCCGTGTCGCGAGACGATAGCGGCGATTACACCGTCACGGCAACCAATTCGTCCGGACGAGATTCTGTCACAGTGCAAGTCACGGTCACGGACAAACCAATGCCACCCGAAGGACCGCTTCAAATCACCGATGTTCACAACGAGGGCTGCAAACTCAAGTGGAAGAGACCGAAAGACGACGGCGGTACTCCCATCGAGTATTACCAGGTCGACAAAATGGACCCAGAAACTGGATGCTGGGTGCCTTGCGGTCGATCCACCGAACCTCGTAAGTTTTCTTTCCGTCTCGATAATAACCGGATAAGAATACAATTTAACGGATAGATTGTTTTCTCGATTTTAGTTTTGGAAGTAACCGGATTGACGCCAGGCAAAGAATACCTGTTCCGTGTCAGTGCGGTGAATGCCGAGGGAGAATCCAAGCCCCTGGAAGCGGAACAAGCGATCTTAGCTAAGAATCCTTACGGTGAGTGAATCGAAACAGAGAAAATCGTATTCGAACGAAAGAAAAGAAAAACGTTAATTAAACGCGTATCTACCCTTCGAATATTAGACGAGCCGGGTAAACCGGGCGATCTTCGAGTCACCGATTGGGACAAGGATCACGTTGATCTCGTATGGAGTCCGCCCACGAACGACGGCGGTTCGCCGATCACAGGATACATCATCGAAAAGAAAGACAAATACGGTGAATGGGAAAAGGCCATCGAAGTACCGGCGGACGAGACCTCGGCTACCGTGCCCGACTTGATAGAGGGCCAACCGTACGAGTTCCGCGTA